CCAACTTAGAGATGCAATGCCTTTGATCTTGTGGGTCCTTCGGTAGATGTGGATGATCTACAAAACAAAGTAAGGGCTAAGTACGGAGTGAATAGTAGTTTGGACAAAGTAAGGGCTAAGTAGCCGAATGTTACTGTTACCTCACTTTTGGGGACTTTTGCCCATATTTATAGACCCTTAGGGGTGACCACTTCGAGATGTGTTTTGATGTGAGACTGTGGACATCGCTTGAGAGGCTACCACATGTATATGTAAGAGGTTGCATGTGAGGCGCATTCTTTAGCCGAATCAGCATGATAGGTTGTCGAAGGCTCACCTACTGACGATGGTTGTTTATAGGCCTCATTGTTTTTACTAGGCTATGTGGGCTCCCTTCGTGTATCTTATGTTCCATGTGTTGTAGAATGATTGGCTGGTCACTTATGGTATAAACAAGATGTAGGAAATGTGAGTGCTAAATTGCTATAAAATAAATAAATAAACACTACAAACAAAACAGATTTTTACAACAACAGAATGGAATTAAAAGAACCTTAATTGAGTCGAGGCAAGTGTTGGACACTCTGACCTTAAGACGAATTACGCCCCACACTGTTGCTTATGGTTCACTAGCGTTCACCTTCCAGAATACAACGACTCTACTCCTTATGAAAGAAGCACTACAATTCACAAGAAACTTTGAACCAAAATTATGCAGGAACCTCTCTTTATGAAACTCTAATACTCTATATGTTTGAAAGTATGTATGTAGAGAATTTATTGAATCAATAAAACTGCAGGAGGATTACTCTATTTATAGATGATGAAATACCCTTTCTAAAAAGGTATCTCAATCTGAAAAGGCAAACAATGCATCCCTTGGTCTGAAGAGTTGTCACCCCAAACAATGCATCCCTTAGTTTGAAGAGTTGTTACTCCCCATGTGAAGATGTCTTTAACCCAATGGTCATGTCTTTAACCCAATGGATTTTATTAATTTCCATTCAAATAGGAAAATCAATATTAGTTAATATTAAATTTTCCAACAATCCCCCACATGAATGGAAATTGACTCAACAACATGCAAAAAATGAAGACACTAGAGAGAGTCCTTATTAGAAGAATACTGCATCTGGATAGGTAGCTTTTGGCCTTGAACCTTCCATAGTGGAATACTATCGGATTTACTTGGCTAATCAGTGAACGTGATGTCTTGAACTGTTCAGCCGTTTGTGTACCCAGACAATAGCACTCACACAATACCCTTCTAAACATATTTGGTTCGATCGGTTGTGCTCGTTTTGGCCCTGAGCATTCCTGGTATTCATGAGAGCTTTGGAGAATTCAAGCCTTAAAAAATTCTCATAGAAACGGCCTCATTTCACAATCACATAGGTGACTTCCTATTAAGAGTATCCTGCACTACCCCACTCGGATTTCCAAGCTATAGGAATCATTAAAATCAAAGATTACCCTAAAACACTCTACAGGCAGCACTGTTTCATCATAGGACATGGGTAGGAGATGTAATCTCGGCAGTGCTACTACTTAGTCATCCATAATTTGGTTGTCCCTTTTGAACCTAGATCTTGGGATCTCCAGTCAGCTAGGTTGGGTATCCACTATGGAGACTTTAAATATTTAGGCTTATACTCCCATTCCCCTCGATGATCAACTAACTCTCTAGTCTGACCTTTAAAAATTGGATCCACTAGGTTGACTATTTCTGTAATATATTGCCATCATAATTTCATATGTGGAAATAAATTCCATTCAAGAGTAGTTGAGCGTTTAATTTATTTTGTTAAGACTTAATAATTGTGCTAACTGAGTAACCTTCTAATACTCAGTTAGACACCCCCACATTTGTGGTACTTATAGGAAGGTCTCTAACCTTCTCATACCTTGTATAAGAGAAATTTAAACTCTTATGAACACCAAAGCCTCTCTCCACAAAAACGTGGTGCTAGAAAACTTCCATTTTCTCTGTTAGGAAATAAAATTCTAAATTTTCCTTCATGTCTGTCACCCCCACAATTTTCACATAATTGTTGAAGGTATTGAGCAATCTGTTAATCATTTTTTCATATGCCTAAGAAGTAGAAAACTTTTACTTTATCCTTAAAGAATGAGATAATGGTTCTACAGTATTAGTTTATAAATTTCCTTTAAATCAATTTAATGCTGCATTAGTAATAGAACCATGTTTATAACATAATTAACATGTTCTAATTACCATACCCTCATTAATTGATTAAAGCAAATCATTATAAAACTAATTTTCCTTTATAAAGTGCACATCAATTTATGCATAGGGTAAGGCTTTGGTACCCTTTGTCCATATGCATCTCATTCTATAGGTAGTACAATGGAGATATTTATTCTTAAAATATCTTCACTTCTTAAGCTCTTTGTAATAGAACAACTAATTAGCTTTCCCCCTTTGAAACCTCAAAGTTTTCAAACCAAGTACCTCTCACTCGAAATACTTTGACTGGTTTCTAACCATGACCAGCATGGTTGCTGGCATGAGCTATGATTGTTAACATAGTCCTACATGGTTTCTCATTTCTCATACAGAGTAACAAAGTCCCACACAATTTACAAAACAAATTTTTTACAAATTTCTGAACTGTAAACAAATTGATATGTCTTGTAATAGAGAGCATGTGGGTCTGTACACTTTCCCACATATCAATTCTATTGGACTGCAGCATGGAAATGCCTCCTGGAAGATATCAATGTTGGTTTGAAAATGCTATAATCGCACCTTCTAACTTAAAATAATCCAACCAAATGGGACCCAAAATCTGGTTATGTGTAACCGATGGACATCTTCATAGCCTTAAGACCCGTTTATGATAGAAAACATCAAATGGTTTCTTAACATTACCTTGAAGGCATCCAAATCTGCATAATAACAGTGGAACTCGAAACCACTTAGTTTGGTCTGCAATTCGTCATGGCGAATATCATAGCAACTTTTAGTCTGTTCCAATGCATGGAATTGCCACAAATATATACACAGGCCATGACAACTTTTAATTGATTATGACATATCCAAGAGTCATAATAGAAACAACTTAAAAATAGAGTGCAGTAAACAGCGACAACGTATTCATTCAAAAGAAGGAGTTGAAATTAAACTAGGCATTCGATATAAGCAACTAATTTAATCTCAAGTCAACGATGCACTGAAACTGTTATATGCATTAGATTCAAAATCAATGATGCCAATATACATATATTCCCTACACATGTGCAGACTACAGATGCAAACCGTTTTGCACCTTTTAATGCATGTAAAATTTATAGGTTAAGTAATTGATAATAAAATTCAATGTTAAAACTCAAACGCATTTATTTTCTTCCCTGACTACGGGTATTCAAGGAAAGATACTAACCATCTTTCGTTTCCTCTTCTCAAAGGAAACCCAAACTCAAGGAAATATTTAACATAAACATACAGCAATTGTTCCCACGAGTTGAAGTAAAAACTAAGTTTATGTTACACTTAAAATATAGCAACTACACCATAAGTAATTCGTCTTAAGATTGTAGGAAATGTGAGTGCTAAATTGCTATAAAATAAATAAATAAACACTACAAACAAAACAGATTTTTACAACAACAGAATGGAATTAAAAGAACCTTAATTGAGTCGAGGCAAGTGTTGGACACTCTGACCTTAAGACGAATTACGCCCCACACTGGTGCTTATGGTTCACTAGCGTTCGCCTTCCAGAATACAACGACTCTACTCCTTATGAAAGAAGCACTACAATTCACAAGAAACTTTGAACCAAAATTATGCAGGAACCTCTCTTTATGAAAATCTAATACTCTATATGTTTGAAAGTATGTATGTAGAGAATTTTTTGAATCAATAAAACTGCAGGAGGATTACTCTATTTATAGATGATGAAATACCCTTTCTAAAAAGGTATCTCAATCTGAAAAGGCAAACAATGCATCCCTTGGTCTGAAGAGTTGTCACCCCAAACAATGCATCCCTTAGTTTGAAGAGTTGTTACTCCCCATGTGAAGATGTCTTTAACCCAAGGGCCATGTCTTTAACCCAATGAATTTTATTAATTTCCATTCAAATAGGAAAATCAATATTAGTTAATATTAAATTTTCCAACACAAGAGTCTCCCAAGTTCTTAATTGAGAAGAGACTTCTTGGTTGGGGACTTGCATTTGTCTTCGGCATTCTGACCAGGTGTGATTTCACAAAGATGATGAGCATGTCCTTTGCTTTCTTGTCGATGGCAATTCCCTAGTCCCCCCAAGTCTCTGATCAAGGAATTTCTTAGAGAAAGGGTGCTTGGAGCACATGTGTCGAATGGTAGGGTATCTATTAATGTATTAAGGAACCATGGGTAGAACCTTGCCGAATAGTAAAGCGGGCGTACCATTCTATGATCACATGAGTATGCATTATGTTGGCTCGTGAAATGCCCATTGTCGTTTGATATAGTTGTATACATGTCGATCGTGACGCACTTGTCTTTTTTGGGGAGAGTTGCTTTGAGGAAAGTGGCATAACATAAGGCTTCGTCTTCTGTGCGTGCATGGGTGAACCTTTAAATGCGAATGGTGGGCCATATATCAGAGCCTAGGCACACTTGGGTGCAATAATGATGGCGCATGTTGGTTAACCTAGGCGGTCCTCATAAGCTTTCCGTATAAAAGGGAATGGTTTGAGATTTGTGTTAGGCGATTTCCAGCGAGCAATTCCTCTTGTGAGAGCGATTTACAGTGGAGTACAGGGCAATGCAATGTCCAGTGACTCTCTAAGCCATGTGAAACATGGTATGCATCTTTTTTCCTTGCCTTCCTGGATTAAATGCCTTGTATTGTTCGAATTTTAAGTATAAACATGTATGAACCTTAGGAAAACAAGGTGGGATAAGAGGATATGCGTCAGAAGCCGTAGGAAACCTTAGTTTGATTCAAGCATGGAATTTAGTTTCCCTTTATTTATTTTTTTTGCAGATGTCAGAGAGAGAATCAGAATATGAGAAGTCCTCCAACGTTCGATGGGGAATCATCGGACGATGAGTAGGCTACCGAGAATAAGGATACCGATTATGATAAAAACGATAATGAGGGTGCCGATCTTAAGATTATGGATGAGGATCATCCTAGAAACCTGCTGAAGAGGGTAGGACAAACTCTTTATATATCGAAGGAGTTGGGCTCTTGGAAATTAACCCTTTCTCTAGTGGGGTCACCAACACTCGCCAGTATTGTGAGTTTATACATGCGAGTTACCAATCAGAGGCTTCTACTTTCGGTCGTGATGATGTGGCTTACGAATCATCATTGGTGCTGATTGAAGAGCTGATTGAGGTTGCAAGCTGTAACCGGAGAATACCTCAAAAGCCTTTGTTCGGTATGGACTATCTGGATTTGAGCAAAATAACGACACGGAAGTTGACAAAAATTCGTGCAGATTATCGGGTTCCAGATTCGGTGATTATGTGGATTCCTAGGGAGACAAAATCGCTGAGCAATCCATCAAATAGTGAGGTTGTATTTTTTATCGATGTCTTCAAGCATGGCTTCAATTGCCGTTGAAGCCTTTTATTCAAAGGATTTTGGAGCAGTTTAATCTAAATTTTTGGATTGCTCTTTTGGGAACCATAACTGCCTTTGCCCATGTTGAAAAAGGGGAGCCCACCTATGAGGAGTTTTTGTACCTTTACAATGTGACGAGGGCGAAAAGAAAAGGCCATGAGGCTGGGTGCAGGCCAATTTTCGGTAGGCGAAGGCCCGAGGACATTTTGTGATGGGAGTACTAACCTCCCAAAAGTCATGGAGGAATCGGCTTGCTCCATGCATTGGGAGTCTGAACTTAATAGGCCGGTTCATTTTCACATCCCTATAACCTTCCAAACAGTCAGTAGGTGCTAGGTGTCGTTTGATAGTGTGGGAGTTATGTTGGTGTGTGTGTGTGTGTGTGTGTGTGTGTGTGTGTGTGTGTGTGTGTGTGTGTGTGTTTGTTGTGTGCATATTTCTGTTTCCCACATATGGCACCAAACTATTGATGCCCAAAACTAGATGACCACTTATTAACCCAACTTATAGATGTGATGCCTTTGGCCTTGTGGGCCATTTCGCAGACTTGGATGATATGCAAGGCAAAGAGCAATGGTAAAACCTTGCGTGCTAGTGTAGTACCGGCCAAAGACTCTACGATGCTTAGCTTAAGGATAGAGTGAATAGTAATTTAGACAGGGTAAGGGCTAAGTAGTGGAATGCTATTGTTACCTCCCTTTTGGGGACTTGTGCCCTTATTTATAGACCTTTGAGGGTGAGCACTTCGAGTTGTGTTTCGATATGGAATTGTGGACATTGTCTGAGAGGCTACCACGTGTCTATGCAAGAGAGAGCATATGAGGCACCTTTTGTAACCAGTTTGACAGGATAGGTTGACGAAGGATCACCTACTTCTGATGGTTGTTTATGGGCCTCAATGTTTTTACTAGGCTCTGTGGGCTCTTTTCATGGGTCTCATGTTTCACGTGTCGCGAAATGATTGGCTGGTCAGATATAGTATAAACAAGGAAAACTTTTAGGAAAATCGTGAAATAGGTCTAGAGTGCATGAGTCGTTATTCCATGTGGATTTGTCACTTCTTCAGCCACTTACGACTCTTTGGATTTCAATAAAGGACGCAATGCCAACTTCTCCTTGGGATCAAGTTTCTTTTTAAAAAAAATTTGCGAGCAATCTCCCTTTTCCTTTTGAAAAATGGTGAAATTATTCACAATATATGATTATGTTATTGTATTCAATGAAATGCAGTATAGAACTTAACCTCCTTATTCGAATTTGAGCCTAAAATCACTAGCTTCCTTATTCGAGTCCGAGCCTAAGACCACTAGTCTGCAAATCAAGTACTTTTTCTACTGGACTAAGACCCTATTGGCAACCTTTATTTTGATTTAATACCCTTATTGAACCCCCTCAAAACTTCAAAACATGTACTGGGCTAAGACCCTGTTGGCAACCTTTTATTTTGATTTAATACCCTCATTGAACCCCTCAAAACTTGAAAATATGCAAAACTTATCTCCGTAGCTCCATGGATGCGTAGATGCCAATAGAGCCGACTGATCTAGGCGTTTAAAGGAGATTGTATGAAGGCAATAGAAAACGTTGAGACGTCAAGCTTTTGCCACATGACTCACCTGAGTTGGATAAGAATCTAATATTAATACTTATATTAATACTTAAACCATAATCTCAAATGACAATCCGAGTCCAGGAACTACGACAGGACATTAATATGCAAGTGAAGTACAAGTACAATTGCATAATATCTTGTATAGAAACAAAAGAAAATCGGCACGTACAACCGGCACTTATTACATTGGAGCTACAGGTTACATTACATGTGAAATTTAGTATAACACTTTCAAAGGATAAACAATTTAACATGTGATTCATCCTCCCATATTGTCCTTTTACTATGTCTTCTTGCCCACTGCTGGGAACGCAAACATCTGACTTGGCATAACCCTCAAATGCTTGGCCTCACATTGAGACGGGATGCGAGCTTTTGACCCAGAGATTTATCTGCCTGCATTGCCAATACAAAGCATAAGACATCAGAACAACATGGCTGCTTTATTCTAATACTAACCCTTCATATTCCAGTATAACATTATAAAGTTACTTAACTGTACAAATTCACAAATGCAATAAATTATAAATAGACTCACCTGAGACCAGTATGAGATCCAAATGCTGCGAATCTCATGGGTGACACGTGGGTCTGATAGGGCATCCACCCATCGGTGGATGAATCGCTCTTGCCTGCATGAAGATACACGATTAAAAACAAGTATGATGTTTTTTCTTTTGGGGGCAGACAACTATGATGTTTAAATACAATTATTTTCATATAGAGACATCATAGGGTTGCCAGGTACCTGTCTGGCGCCCAAGATCTGTATCTCTCTCCAGGTTGCTTAAAGTTGTTCTCCTTCTCAATGATGCACTGAATAACCAAAAAAACCAACATACTCAAATATACAAAAAGTTGTCATAGGAATTATTATGTGCAGCAACCTAGGAAAATCCAGAAATGCAGTCGGTACATATGTATATACCTACACTAGTGTATGTGCCCGGGTGACTAAAAAAAGGGAGAGCTGGAAGAAAAGATAATGTACAGAAGAGATGGGGAAACTAAGGTATATTCAAAGCAATATTCCCCAATTGATAGAAACTGACCTTCTCACGCTTTCCAGAAAGGATATTAGGAGGAATGGGGAAGCGCTCAGCATTACGAACAGGATCAAACCTTGAAGGGAAGTAATTAACCTGAAGATAACAGTATAGCAACTCATCAGAGAGAACTCAAATGAATAAACAAGCATACAATTGGAGTTGTCCTCCCCGAATATTGAGCAATCTAAGTATACAAGGGCCAAAGGGATTCCATATGAGACATAACAATTGAGTAAAATAATAATACCTCCTCATCCCTGTGCATGAAATTCATGAATCCCTCATGATGATTGTTATGATGAGAACTCTTGGGAGCATTCACTGGGAGCTGCAGATAGTTCGGGCCAAGACGGTGCCTCTGAGTATCAGAATAGGAGAAGATTCGAGTTTGGAGCAACTTATCATCTGAATAGTAGACACCAGGGACAACAATGGCAGGGCAAAATGCAAGTTGTTCATTCTCAGCAAAGAAGTTATCAATGTTTTTATTCAGAACCAGACGGCCAACTGGCTGCAGAGGAAGAATATCTTCAGGCCAGGTCTTAGTTACATCAAGTGGGTCAAAGTCAAATCTGTCCTCATGATCAGGATCAATTGTCTGAATATAAAGTTTCCACTCAGGGTAGTTGCCAGCTGCAATGGAATCATAGAGATCCTTGGTAGCATGGCTGTGATTAGCTCCTCCAACCTTAATAGCTTCATCCTCCAACAAACACTTGACTCCACAAGTAGGTTTCCAATGAAATTTCACATACTGTGCTTTCCCTGCCTTATTGATAAGGGTATATGTGTTAACACCAGAGCCTTCCATGTGCCTGTAATCTTGTGGAACTCCCAGATCATCAAATAGGAAGGTGAACATGTGCAGGCTTTCTGGGTGGTGGGAGAAGAAGTCAAGGATCCTCCAAGGCTCTTGAATGTGCGACTTGGGGTTCGGTTTGAGAGCATGGACCATGTCCGGGAATTTCATTCCATCACGAACAAAAAAGACAGGGAAATTGTTTCCAACCAGGTCAAAATTACCCTGTGTTTAAGAAGAACAAAGTCACCACATGAGTACTCACTACACAGCAAAATAAACCTGAATAAAGTCGTATATAGTGAATAATAATGTTACCAAGAAATCAACCATCTGTATAAGCATCTAGATTACAGATGGTATGCTACATGAGCAATCTTTTACAGCCAGGCGACTACCCCCATTATTAAAGGAAAATGAAAAGGCAAAGAAAAGAAAGGAATGAATGCAATCTTTCATCAAAGTCACAAGATTGCATAATTTCCAACAACTATAATTAGTCAAATATGAATTGAGTACTTCAGATTTTGTCACCACAGCCACCTCAGCTGCCACTACAGACACCAATACATATCCGCTAAATATGCCTATGCTATTGAAAAAATAAATAAATAACACATTGATAATATAAAGGTAAAAACCTCACCTCTCTGGTGTAAAACTTCACTGCAAAACCACGAGGATCCCTCAGGGTTTCAGGGCTGCCACGCTCATGGATAACAGTGGAGAAACGCACAATGACAGGTGTCTGAACACCAGGGGCTCGAAGGAAGTCGGCACATGTAAGCTGAGAAATATCATGAGTGACCTCAAAGAATCCCTTCGCACTGGCTCCCCTAGCATGGACAACACGCTCTGGGATTCGTTCTCTATCAAAGTTGGCAATTTTCTCCACCAGATGATAGTCCTCAAGGAGAATTGGGCCTGACAAATAGACACAGAAATTTAATTAGGAACTGCACCGACTCAACTCACCATATTTAAGCATCTAGATTACATGCAAAAATAGGATAAAAATGAAATTAGTTGTTATACATTCCAGAAAATCAAATAAAGATGATTGCTGCTTGGTTGCAAATATTCGTAATTTTTATTTACATTTAGAAGGGAGGTTTTCAGACAACCAGATGATCAAAAAATCCATCTTGACAACCCAAAAGGAGGCTGGAGGAATTAAAAGAGAACCAACAGTGCGGGAGAATCATTTTTCAACTAAAGTAAGCATAAAATTTTAAAATAAATGTCAATAGGAAAAGGATCAGCTTCAAATACAAGATATATAAGTATATATATACATATCTTAAATCCCACAAGCGTTTCCAAAGATTAACCATCCTCAACATGGTAGTGGGTGGGAATAACATCCAAAAAGCAGTTTACAGCTCATAATCACATGAATATCAAAATCTTGTTCAGAAAAGTTGAGAAAACCATCACAACAATTCAAAACCCAGGTAAGCGAAGAACCAATGATAACAAAGATGAATATATACACACAAATAGTGAATAGCATCATAAGATAGATTGGTGAGGAAGCGCAACTAAAAAAACAATAAAAAAATAAAAAATAAACTGTGTTGCAATTGAAAACCCAGCATCAATCAACGAAGAGTTGTGATGAATTACCTCTAGATCCAACAGTCAAAGAAGAGTTGTTGTTCCAAACTGGAGCACCGGAGTTTGTGGTCCAGAATGGGGAATCAAAAGCGCTTGAAGGGCGGTACTGCAACATACACAACGAAAACGAAACAAGACCATGATGAGCTAAAAGAACAACAAACACAAAATTTCGAGCTACGCTTAAATGACCAATCTGATTGATCAAGAAGATTAATTCATCAAGAAATCAAACTTAAACAAATCAAGAAATATTGAGATTAGGACAGGGAAATGAGTACCTTGTAAGGATCCATGGAGAGAGAGAGAGGGGGGGAGGAGGAGTTTGATAAGAAGGTGAGAAAGCAGAGCAAAGCCACCCAAAGGGAAGGTCGTGTGGCAAATGAGAATCCAAGAGCGAAATGTCAAATTGGGGAATTTATAAACACTTGTGGGTCGTGGGCGTGGCTCGCGCTTCTGCGCAAATTACCAACCTCAGCAGGTTATCTTTATCCACACAGAGTGGAAGGTCAAGAGAAGAGAAGACATATCTTTGCCAATTTAGCGTCGCGAGTCAGAACGATTCTCGCCAAACCTGTCAACGAAACATTCTTGTTTGTATGCACAATTGTGGCAAAACGTGCTTCACTCACTTCAAATCTTTTACAACCAATTTTATGAGGAGGGGTTTTTTTAAACCAAATATATATATATATATATATATACAATTTTATGAGATTATTGTCCTCATACTAATTTTATACTAATTTATTGCTATTTATCATTTTCAAAAGATTATTCACTGTCACGCTGAATTCATCATCCATATATGATTAAGAAATAACAAATTTCACGATAAACTAGAAAAACCCCTTAAACACGTTAAATTTAACGTTAGCATCAGTTTTTGAAACGAAAGAAAAAAGACATTAACTTAAAGATTGATGATTTGTTAGATGATTTGGTTTAGATTTCATAAAATGGGGGGTAAATGTACAGATTCTAAATGTAGAAACTCAGTATTCGTCTCTCATCAATATCACTTTATGAGTGAAAATCTAGAATACTAAACTAAAATTATATTTCTTCACAAAAATTGCATCAAAACATGAGGATAAATTGATGTTCATCCGTACATTGAACAAGCACAATATATCGTGAAGATATTCGATATATTGAAAACCTCGCCGATATTCATGTAGGAAGGCTAAACGATGGGAGCAACAAAGATTATTTTTATGGCAAAAAATTCAACAACAACAACGAACAAACAAACAAACAAAAAGAGAAAAAAAAGAGGAGGCAAAATTGAAAATAACTGAGAACGTCATGCATTCATCGTTCCTTATCCAGGTCTTGGAGCTTTGCTAACACCTTGGCGCAACCACTCATGGCAGTGGCGGGTATGGGTGACGTGGTCCACTCACAAGACGCCACGACTACCAAAGTGTACCTTGAAATGTGTGCTCTTAGAAAATAGCACAGAGATTCTCTCTCAGGGGATATGCTTGAAATTTATTAACCAAAAAAAAGACTGGAAGAGGCTGTTTTTTGGCGAAAATTCTGTGTGAAAGCTGCCAAAACAGCAAATATGCTGATAAGGTTAGATGGGCCGTGAGCTCAGATTAGCCACAAAGACTGTTCCTCTCTGGGCCCAATGTCTTTTTCTACGGGATTTTCTTTTTTATTTATCAATATTTTAACAATTTTTTTAATGGAGCTCCACAATGAACAAATTTTGAAGGTACTTGATGTTAGTTAGAGAACCTCTATGTCTAATCTAGGGGAACTATGAGTTGAAGGAAGCTTTGAGGTATGCTCATGTGACCCTACTTCTTGTTCTTTATGCATAAACATATTCAAGTTGCATGTTCAAGACTTGACATCTAATCATTATACTGATCATCTATAATAAATAATAAAACCAAAAAAAAACAAAAAAAAACAATGTAACTAGGCCTTGATGCAATAAGAACTTAAGCATTAGCTTCATGTATGTAGGAAAAGTAGCAAATAATTTCAATTGTAAAATTAATGTGGAAGTGTAGGGATGAGTACAAGCATTTCGAAGTAAACACATGTTAGTGTAATAATGTTGGTGTAACAACAATTAGAAGGGTTGCTTTGGTTTCTTTTTCTTGTTAATGCCGTTTGACTGGTTGTGTAGTCTCAGTGGTTCTTTCACCTCTCTTTGGTCTTTTTAATGAAAGTTCATCCTTACCCAAAAAAAAACAACAACAACAATTTAGAAGGGTTGCAATTAGATAGGCTTGCTAGTCTCCAAGAGGTGCAAGACTATCTGTTGATTAAAGTTCAAGCTCCCAAGTCCAAATTTGGGGCAACAACTAGCCTATCTCATTGCAGGCGCTTAATATTTTCGCTTCCTGCACTTGAAGGGATTGGCGCAGTGGTTCACTAGTAAAATTTGTAATAGCTTAAGACTTCCCTAGTATCATTTAGTAGTTACAAATCACTTTACTTCGCTAGTAGTGAGTCCCAATATCGGCTGAATTTCTCTTTCACCATTATTAGTCTGTCAGTAAAAGCTAAAATTGTAGTAGTGTAAGCTAATTCTTGATTTACTGTAATTATTCCCTTATTGGTTAAAACTTAAAATCATCGATGAAAATCATAGCACTCTCTAAGAACTTCACCCTTTAAGAGTGCATTGAGGCAAACCTAAAAAAATTCATCATCATCATCATCTTGTCGCGCTTCTTGAATCCACCACAGGAGATTTTAGTTTGGCCCTCTGGATGTCCTCTTTTGGGTCTTTATGCACCGCTTCTTGAGGCTCATCACTTGAGCTCCCAAAGATCACTCTCTTAGCTTCAGCAAAACTTCCGTCGTGATCTCGCTTGCGTTTCCCTAGGATCTCCAAGGCCTCCAGCTGTTTTTGCATCTCTTTAAAATAAGAAGTTACCATCTTTGATAACTTTTCATTTTCTGCCTGCAATATTTGAAGCTGGCATTGATTCTCCTCTGTTGTCTTTGCCCTATTCTTTTTCAATCTTTTGATGTCATGTTGATATTCATCAACCAAATTCTGCTATGCCACCAACAGAGCTCTCAGTACTTGCACCTCATAAGATTTTGCAATGAGGCGATGTCCCACACTTGCGATAGTTGTCGCATTTTGCACGCTCAATGCCACGACATCGCTCACTAACCAGTTGTCATCCTTCGTTCCCAGTATGCGTACATCCCTGAGAGTCACCAAACTCCTCGCAACTCCAATGGCAACCTCGTTGTCAAGGAGTAACGAGTTGCTTTCTGTCACTGGTCCTTGTGAAGAAGCAAAGTAGGGCATCCAGACCGATGCAACTCCTTGCCCCCATGTCTGTGTTGGCGGAGCTAGTTTAAGATCCAGAGAAGATGGGAAGGGATACGACATTTTCTTTCTGCTTTCTTTTTCTCTCTTTTTTCTTTCTTCTTTCCTTTCTCTTTTCTTTCTTTCTTTTCTCTCTTCTGCGTGGTTGTAATTCTTCTTTTTCCTTCATTTCCTTTAATAGATGAACCCTAGCACCATTGCACCATCTAATTTTTCCGCATTCCTCGAGCTCCACAGCCTTCTCGCTTTCCACCGTCTACAACTTTGTCGCGACTTGCGCAAAGTCGTCCCTACTTTCCATGGCGCCCGTAATTTCCGCTTGTGGATTTGTCATACCTCTGCGCATCGACACGTGTCTCCTCTCTACGTGTCTCCTCTCTCTAGGGGTGGGCATTGGATTTGTGGTTCAAATTGATTTAGGGTTGATTAAAATAAAATGGCAGCCCTAGAAACAGTTACCAAGTATCTATCCCATATGACATAAAACATTTAAAAACATCCATGGGACTATATTTAAAAAATCAACATGATAATGTTTAATTGGATTGTATAATGTGTTTTGTTTTGTTTAGTTAGATTATAAAATGTTTAAGTTTCTGTTTTTTTTATTTATTTATAAAAACATCCATGGGACTTCTTTCGGTTCAAGGTTCCATTTTTTAAGAAAACCGGTTCAAACCGGACTGTGCCCGCCCCTACCCCTCTCTCTCTCTCTCTCTTTTCTTTCTTTTCCTTATATTTTCTCTCCTCTCTCTGTTTTTTTATTTAAATTTTTTCAATTGTAAGTTTTGTAACATGCATGTTATTTTATTTATGACTCCATTACACGACTCGAAATCCGCATGGAAAAAAGACAATCCAAACCCGACAAAACACGTTTATTAAATGGGTTGGATTCGGGTTGAGCATTCTTGACACGTTTGTTAATGGGTTGGGTTAAATAAATCAATGACAGCATAACATGAACACAGGGTTTGTGAGAAAGGTGATATTTTCAATGACTATATTAATAAATCTTTATTCTTTGAGTAGTTAGATTTTTGCATAAAGCTTACCTTCCTCAACTGATAGCTGCATTGATCTTTTCTCTAGCTCAACGGCATGTCTGCTAAGCTCAGATGGCGATAATTGACGAAGCGCTGATAACATGATGAACAAAGAGCATTTTCAGTGCTGGCAAAACTAAAGGCAGAAAAATTGGTATGAAATTTTTTAAATTGAAACAGCAGTGCCATAATACAATGACCTACTCTGGATGTGTTCTCTCTGATCAGAATCATCAAATTGCTTCAAGAGGTTCTACATATGTAGAAACCCTTCTGCCCTTTGCTCATCATGGTTCTTCTCAGAATTAAGCGTGTGTTTTTTTTCCTAATCTTATAATTAAGCGTGTGTTATCTAAATCGGGGTATGTGAGTTGTATTAGTTAGTCGGGTAATGAGAGTATTAAAAACTTAATCCGTTTAATATATTCCAGTATTTAAATAATACAAGTTGACATCAAACAATTGACATTGACTATTTACTCATATCCAGAGTCTAATACCAGGTACCAAACATACTGTACGAGCTTTTGCCACATGACTCATCTAACATGACAATCCAAGTCCACAAACACAAGCATACACACTAAAGACAGGACACTAATATGCATGTGAACTACAAGAACGACTGCATAATATCTTGTATAGAAACAAGAGAAAATCGGCACATACGACCGTCGCTTATTACATTGGAACTACAGTTCACATTACATACCAAATTTAGTATAACACTGCCAGGAATTCAAACATTTGACTTGGCATAACCCTCAAATGCTTGGCCTAACATTGAGACGGGATGCGAGCTTTTGACCCAGAGACTTATCTGCCTGCATTGCCCATACAAGCACATAACATCAGAACGACATGGCTTATTCTAAAACTAACCCTTCATATTCCAGTATCACATCATCAAGTTGCTTAACGGTACAAATTCACAAATGCAATAATTTATAAATAGACTCACCTGAGACCAGTATGAGATCCAAATGCTGCGAATCTCATGGGTGACACGTGGGTCTGATAGCGCATCCACCCATCGGCGGATGAATCGCTCTTGCCTGCATGAAGATGCAAGATTAAGAACAATGTTTAAATACAATTATTTTCATACAGAGACATCATAGGGTTGCCGCCAGGTACCTGTCTGGCGCCCAAGATCTGTATCTCTCTCCAGGTTGCTTAAAGTTGTTCTCCTTCTCAATGACACACTGAATAACCAAAACAAAGTTCCCATATGAATTATTATGTGCAGAAAACAAGGGAAATCCAGAAATGCAATCGGTACATATGTATACACACCTACACTAGTGTATGTGCCCAGGTGACAGAAAAAGGGACACAGCTGGAAGAAAAGATGATGTACAGACGAGACGGGGAAACTAAGGCATATTATTTAAAGCAATATTCCTCAATTAATAGAAACTGACCTTCTCACGCTTTCCAGAAAGGATATTAGAAGGAATGGGGAAGCGCTCAGCATGACGAACAGGATCATGCCTTGAAGGGAAGTAATTAACCTGAAGATAACAGTATAGCAACTCATCAGAGAAAACTCAAATGAATAAACAAGCATACAATATTTGGAGTTGTCCTCCCAGAATATTGAGCAATCTAAGTATACTAGGGCCAAAGGGATTCCATATGAGACATAACAATTGAGTAAAATAATAATACCTCCTCATCCCTGTGCATGAAATTCATGAATCCCTCATGATGATTGTTATGATGAGGACACTTGGGAGCATTCACTGGGAGCTGCAGATAGTTCGGGCCAAGACGGTGCCTCTGAGTATCAGAATATGCGAAGATTCGAGTTTGGAGCATCTTATCATCTGAATAGTAGACACCAGGGACAACATGGGCAGGGTTAAACGCAAGTTGTTCATTCTCTGCAAAGAAGTTATCGATGTTTTTATTCAGAACCAAACGGCCAACTGGCTGCAGGGGAAGAATATCTTCAGGCCACGTCTTAGTTAAGTCAAGAGGGTCAAAGTCAAATCTGTCCTCGTGATCAGGATCCATTGTCTGAATATAAAGTTTCCACTCAGGGTAGTTGCCAGCTGCAATGGAATCATAGAGGTCCTTGGTAGCATGGCTGTGATTAGCTCCTCCAACCTTAATAGCTTCATCCTCCAACAAACACTTGACTCCACAAGTAGGTTTCCAATGAAATTTCACATAGTGTACTTTCCCTGCCTTACTGACGAGGGTATAGGCGTGAACACTAGAGCCTTCCATGTGCCTGTAATCTTGTGGAATTCCCAGATCATCATAAAAGAAGGCGAACGTGTGCAGGCTTTCTGGAAGGTGGGAGAAGAAGTCAAGGATCCTCCAAGTCTCTTGGATGTGCGACTTGGGGTTCGGTTTGAAAGCACGGATCGCGTCCGGGAATTTCATTGCATCACGGACAAAAAAGACGGGGAAATTGTTTCCAACCAGGTCAAAATTACCCTGCGTTTAAGAAGAACAAAGTCACCACATGAGTAATTACTACACAGCAAAATAAACCCGAATAAATTCGTATATGGTGAATAATGCTACATGAGCAATCTATTACAGCCAGACGACTACCCCCCATAGTTTAAAGGAAAATGAAAAGGCAAAGCTAAGAAAGGAATGAATGCAATCTTTCATTAAAGTCACGAGACTGCAAGATTTCCAATAACTATAATTAGTCAAATATGACTTGAGTACTTCAGATTTTGTCACCACAGCAACCTCAGCTGCCACTACAGACACACCAATACAAATCCATTAAATATGCCTATGCTATTGAGAAAATAAATAAAACATTGATAATATATAGGTAAAAACCTCACCTCTCTGGTGTAAAACTTCACTGCAAAACCACGAGGATCCCTCAGGGTTTCAGGGCTGCCACGCTCATGGATAACAGTGGAGAAACGCACAATGACAGGTGTCTGAACACCAGGGGCTCGAAGGAAGTCAGCACAAGTAAGCTGAGAAATATCATGAGTGACCTCAAAGAATCCCTTTGCACTGGCTCCCCTAGCATGGACAACACGCTCTGGGATTCGTTCTCTATCAAAGGTGGCAAGTTTCTCCACCAGATGATAGTCCTCAAGGAGAACTGGACCTGAAAAATAGAAACAGAAATTTAATTCGGAACTGCACCGACTCAACTCATCATATTTAATCATCTAGATTACATGCAAAAATAGCATAAAAAAGAAATTAATTGTTATGCATTCCAGAACATAAAATAAAGATGACTGTTGCTCGGTTGCAAATATTTGTAATTTTTGTTTACATTTAGAAGGTAGGGTTTCAGACAACCAGATTATCTTGACAACCCAAAAGGAGGCTGGAGGAATTAAACGAGAGCCAACAGTGCGGGACAATCATTTTTCAACTAACGTAAACAGAAAATTTTAAAATAAAAGGTTTACTACTGAAATACCCCGTGAACTTGTAGCTCACTTTCAATTAGCACTCTATTATTTTTTTTTTAGAAAATTAAGGATAAGAACTTTTTTTTTCCGCCAATTTCCCCCTGCCGTCTAAATCTTCAACATTTCATTCAATTTGCTGTTAAATATGAGGTCATATTGGTCATTTCAAACATTAAAAACAATAAATATAGAAAATTAAAATTAAAAAAATTAAAAATTGAAATAATAATTATATATTCACCCTATGTTTGACAGCCACCAACATCACACCCACTCTTCGATCTCTTTCCCCCTCCTCTTCAACATCCATCAACATCACCATCCTCCACCCTCTGTCTCTACTCCCCCCATATGCCCACCCCCTCCTTCTTCTCCCTCCCACTCTCTTTTTGCGTCTCTCTCTTCCCATGCCAAGGTTACAGAGAGGAAAACAAAATTTAATAATAAACATCTTGAGATGTTTTGGGTGGTTGTTTAGGATTTTGATCTTGAATTTTTTTTCTTTGGTGGCTGTTTGGCTGTTTGGGTTTCCTGGGGAGTAAGGTGAGTTAATAATAAAGATCTTGAAATTTTTTGGGTGGCTATTTAGGGTTTTGATCTTGAATATAATTTTTTTTTGGGTGGTTGTTTGAGTTTTTTGGGAGGTGAGGTTGTGGATGTCGAAGAAAGAGGGAGACATAAGGAGGAGGGGGAGGATGAAGGGTGGGGGAAGAGAGAAGAGAGGGAGGGAGACACACTTTGTAGATAACGAAAGGACGAAAAACAAAAAAGAAGATCAAAACCCTAAAGCCTAAGGGAATAGGGCGACAAGAGAGAGAGAGAGAGAGAGAGAGAGAGAAGGAGGCAGGAGGAGGTGAGTCGGGGGTGGGGCTGGTTGACCTCGGGAGAAGCATTGGGCAGAGGAGGAGGGGGAGAAAAAAACCAGAGGGGAGGGGGAAGGAAAAAACCTGAGGAGATAAGGTTTTATTTTGTGTTATCTTTTTCTTCTTTTTTTCCAAATTTTTTTTTAATGATTTAATAGAAAATTGGATGGAATGTTGAGATGTAGACGGCAAGGGGAAATTGGCCAAAAAAAGTTCATATCCTTAATTTTCTATATAAAAAAAATAATAATAAGGAGTTAACCGAAAATTAAGTATAAGTTCATGGGGCAAATCACCAATATACCCTAAAATAAATGTCAATAAAAAAAGGATCAGCTTCAAATACAAGATATATAAGTATATATATATATATATATATATATATACATATCTTAAATCCCACAAGCGCTTCCAAAGATTAAATCATCCTCAACCTGGTAGTGGGCGGGAATAACATCCAAAAAGCAGTTTACATCTCATAATCACATGAATATCAAAATCTTGTTCAAAAGAGTTGAGAAAACTATCACAAAAATTCAAAACCCAGGTAAGCGAAGAACCTATGATAACAAAGATAAATATATGCACACAAATAGTGAACAGCATCATAAGATAGCTAGATGGATGACTAAAAAAAAAAAAGAATTGTGATGAATTACCTCTAGGTCCAACAGTCAAAGAAGAGTCGTTGTTCCAAACTGGAGCACCGGCGTTTGTGGTCCAGTATGGGGAATCAAAAGCACTTGAAGGGCGGTGCTGCAACATACACAACGAAAACGAAACAAGACCATGATGAGCTAAAAGAACAACAAACACAAAATTTCGAGCCACGCTTAAATGACCAATCTGATTGATCAAGAAGATTAATTCACCAAGAAATCAAACTTAAACAAATCAAGAAATATTGAGATTAGGTCAGGGAAATGAGTACCTTGTAAGGATCCATGGAGAGAGAGATGGGAAGAAGAAGAAGGGAGTTTGATAAGAAGGTGAGAGAGCAGAGATAAGCCACTCAAAGGGAGGGTCCAGTGGCAAATGAGAATTGAAGAGTGACATGTGAAATAGGGGAATTTATAAACACTTGTGGGTCGTGGAAGGTCCCTCGCGCTTCTGTGCAGATTACCAATCTCAGCAGGTTATGTTTATCCAAACACACAGTGGAAGGTCAAGAGAAGAGAAAACATATCTTTGCCAATTTAGCGTCGCGAGTCAGAACGATTCCCGCCAAACTTTTCAATTGAAAAGTAAAAGAGATTAAAATGAGTAAAAAGGAGTAGAAACACCAAAATTGACTGTGTAATTATAAAATTTATGGAATCGTCTTTTTATTTTTCAAAATTTGTGAACATATTATCGCTAAATAATGAACACAAAAATTGATTTAATAAATATAATGTTGGTGTTGATTGCAATTAATAGCTAAGAGCATCCACAATGATGCTCTCTATTTCTTAGCTAAAATTTAGCTAAAAACATAAGAAAGCTATTTTAGGAGCTCTCTAAAAAATTTCAACTCCAACCATACTCCTTAATTTGGAGAGTCATAAATGCTATAACTCTTTTTTAATTGGTCTATCTCTATTAAAAAATAAAATAAAAAATAGTTAGCATTAAATAAATGTTTGAAATACTCATTCAATAAAGCAGCATTAAATTATAGGGAGCCATTAGGAGTCCTTTCTCTCTCCTCAGATTTAGGAGCTCTTAGAGGACTCCTTATTTTAGGAGGTGGATAGGGAGCGTGGTTGGAGTTGCAATTTTACGATTCCTCCTTAAAATTTGTCTAAGGAGGTAGTTTAGGGAGCCCATTGTGGATGCTCTAAGAGCATTCACAATGGACTCCCTAAACCACCTCCTTAGACAAATTTTAGGGAAGAATTCGAAAAGTACAACTTCAAACATGCCTGCCATATCCACCTCCTAAAATAGGGAGACCTCTAGGAACTTCTAAATCTGAGGAGAAAGAAAAGACTTCTGACTCCCTATAATTTAATGATGTTTTATTTAATGAGTATTTCAAACTTGTAATTAATGCTAACTATTTTTTATATTATTTTAAAATATAAATGGATCAATTAAAAAAAAAAAGCTAAAGCATTTATGACTCTCTAAATTAGGGAGTATGGTTGGAATTAAAATTTTTTAAAGAGCTCATAAAATAGCTTTTTTGTATTTTTACCTAAATTTTAGCTAAAAAATAGAGAGCATCATTATGGATGCTCTAACTATAGAGATTTGATTGAAACAATTAAAAACATTTCACGGCGAACAACAATGGCAAGGCAAAATGCAAATTGTTAATCTGATTATTGTTCTTAATTGAATTATTAATTTTTGTTAATATTTTATTTTACTTAAGAAAAATAAAGTCATTCGTATATCTCACATTATCATTGAACTGGTTTCAAGACAACCAATTTAACAACAAATTCCGAACCTCTATATTTAGGATATGTGCATTTAACCGCATTTTGTGAAATTTAAGCCACTCAGATAATCTAACCATTTAATATATGACACATCATCAATCTTTAATCTAAGATTTTTTTTTTTCAACATTGAAGCTAACTTTAAAGGTAACATGCTTGAAGGAGATATTTTTTTCATCATGCTTCCTCCTTGAAAAAACTGTAAATAAAATTAATTTATTGCTATTTACCTCCAGTTTATAGATCGAACCCTAAAGCACAAAGTGAACTTCAGAACTTTGATTTTCTAGTCACAAAAATCGAGTAAATCATGTAATTAAGAAATAACAGATATTAAGATGAACTAAAAAAAAACCCTCAAGCACTTTTACTTTATTGTTAGCATCAATTTTTGGAAAGAAAAAACAAAGGACTTTCTAAACTAAAATTATATTTCTTCACAAAAATTGCATCTAAACATGAGGATAAAATGATGTTCATCCGTACATTGAACAAGCACAATATATCGTGAACAATATATTCGATATATTGAAAACCTCCATATTCATGTAGGAAGGCTAAACGATGGGACCAATAAAGAATTATTTTTAGGGTCATGTTAGGGAGACTAATTTTATATACCAACTTGTGTATCTCTTTAATAGAGGTGGAGCCCACCAATACAATCTATTAGAGAGATGGTATACAGAGTTAGTATCTAAAATTGATCTCCCTAACATTTTTTTTATTTTTAATGACAAAAGCTTCAACCACCAAAAAAATAATAATAATAAACAAAAAAGGAGGCCTGGAAAATTATTATCATCATAATCGTGGTGGGACCAAAATTGGAAATAATTGAGAACGCCCATGCATTCATCAATCCTTATCCAGGTCTTGGAGTTTTGCTAACACTTAGGCGCAATCACTTATGGCAAGGGATATGCTTGAAGTTTATAAAAACACAGACGAAATAAATAAATAAATAAATAAAACTGGAAGAGGCTATTTTTAGGTGTCGTTTGTGCGAAAGCTGCCAAAACAGGAACTATGCTGATAAGGTTAGAATGGGCCCGAGCTCAGATTAGGCCACGAGGAGTGCGATTCTCTAGGCCCACTTCAAATTTGGATACATAAAAAACGAGAAAGAAAAATACAAATTTATAAATAAACCCAATTCTAGACATATATTTATAAAAAAATCCAAGCACTATTTAAACATAGAAACACACCCAAAATCAACCCCAAAATCAACTTTTTGGGTGTGTTTATAAATGGGTTTTGAGTGTGTGTAATGATGGGTTTTGGGTGTGTTTATATGTTTAAATAGTGCTTGGGTTTTTTTATAATTTCAACTCCCATTTTGGGTGTTTTAGTGAAACTCCCAAAGAAAAATCACTGAACTCTGGGCTCGCTCAATGTCTTTTTCTACAGGATTTCTTCTTTGTTACTTGTCAATACTGATGTTGTAAAGTCAAGAATGTGGAGCCAAAAATAATAGAACCTAATTGATTGAAGATGAATAATGGTAAAGCTTGTCTGCCAACACTCACGTGAAGCCAAAGAAATATGACTAAGCAGCCACCGAATTCTGCCTACAAATACATGCTTTCCCTTGATAAATTTCAGACTTTTCTGTCAGACCAAAAAAAAAAAAAATTTCAGACTTTTCTGTTTCTTTTTGCTTTTGAGTTTTTGTCTCTCTGCATGTTTTCTATCTCCTTCTTTTTCCCCTATATAATTTGAAAGGATATTTGTTGGATAAACAAAGTGTGAGTTGCAATAATCTTGGCTAGGGTGAATTCAGATGGGAAAGATTGTCTATTCAAACAGTCTTTGGTGTTGGAAGACTACCTTTTTAATGGTTGATTGATCAAATATGTAAAATAAATTTCGTACTAGGTTATTGAATTAAATATCCGTTAACTTAACAAATTGAATATGGATTTGTTATCAATAATCCACTAGATTAACCAATCAAATTGTTTTCTATTATTAGATCGGACGTAGAAAATCAGCCTCGAACACATTAAAACAACTAATTTTAGCTCTTGTTGTTAAGTTTTTTCAAATTTCATATGATTTTCAGTTAATAAAGGGTTAATTTGTAATTTTAGCTCTTTTGTTGAACTGTTGGTCTCTGTATTGAACAGATTCTTTTGTTGCACGATTAGAGTACAAGTTTGGATGTTGGTAATTATGGGTTCATAATATGAACCAATTCCTTAAATTTACTACCAACACATTTGAACATCAAATCAGATTCAAGTCTGTTTCCATTGACCAAAAGCAAGAAGATAAAAATCTAAGGGGTTTCCAAAGTATGTGTCAACATAAAATTCACGTTGCAACTAAATTTTTATGTCAACCCATATTTTTGTTGGTGTTAGGCTATTAGCGTTCTATTCTATAATCTAAATTGTTTTCTAATACTAGCTATTTTGGGTTGTATTTCCTCAAAGAGAGAGATAGCAGCAAATGAAATTCCAATAAATTAGGAATTTGTTGATTGACATCGAACAACCAGAAAGCTCAATGGTCATTGCTTGTTCTGTCTACAACTTAATAGCTTCAGTAATTCAATACCAATTTTCTTGTCAAGCATGCATGCACTACTACAAAATTGTTAAAGCGTGACACTAAAATTGTTGGCGAGTCCTTATCGGTTACTTATTTATTTATTTAGTCATATTATTATTGAGATTCATTTTTTATTGTAAATATTAACATGTGCCTTTTGTTTTGTGTGCCTGCGTGTACGTTTTTAGGTAAACAAGAAGCTAAAGCATATTCAAAGGATTTATCGACCTATTGTGGAAGGTAAGATGCCAACTTTGTTTTCCTACTTTCTTTTTACTAGAGTTTCAATTTTTTAAACTTTAAACTGATTGTCCTTCTCATATGAAAAATGAGGAGTCTCAATTTTTAAGCCTCCCATGATTCAGCAGCCTAACTCGTGTATTTATTTGGGACAGATTACTTGAGGAAACAGAAGATGAGGTGACTTAATACTCTATACTTTTTGCTATCAATAAAACAAATAATCAATGGTTGCATTGAGCATTAATACTTTTGTGTCCTGATTTTGCAATTGTTCTTGCAGTTGGCAGAATTGATAAAGAAAGGATCTGTAAGAGGAGGAGATGTAAGCAAGGTCTTATGTCAAGATCTGAGTGCACACTGTAGCAGGACAAGGTAAGGTTAATTCATCATAAAATATAAATATCAATGAAAGTAAGTACATATTTTTACTGCTTCCCTCCCTGGCCCCCGAATCATGCAAAGACCAATCATGCCATGGTATCAAGGATACTTGATCGATACACAACAGTTTTTATTTTTAAATTTACTTTTAACACTGGACCCTTTAGTTGAAAGGTTTTCATTACAGCAACTCAACCAGTTTCTAGAATTATGATTAATCCTGAGTCCTGACTTTGCAAATCAATCCACCAATTAGAACTTAGAGCATTACTTCTCCAGTCCAGAGCTATTCTGGGTTATGCTTTCCAGCAGGGTTCCCCTTTGTATAATACCCTGGAATTATTTATTGTGTCTGTCTGCAGTGCATCGCATCAGGGAAATGGATATGGTAATGGATCCGACGGAGAGCTCTGAGTTACCCACATTCACATACTTCACCAGCAAGAAGAGATAGCACAAACCAATTAACTTTTACTCAGAGTTTGGTCTGTTTAAGTGATGTAGAACAGATTGAAGATTTTATCGCGGTTGAGCAAGAAAAGGGACGTGGTGGGAATTTGCAGAATTGTCGTCCGAGCTCCGATTAGGGCGCAAAATACCATTTCGGAAAGGGAACGATGCCACGAGTCAAACTCACAGTTTTGCTGTGACGTACGATGGATTTTGGCATTCTGGAGTCGTTTGGCCTTTCAAAACTGCAGTCAAAGTTCGAAGTTAATTCTAAATAAATTCTGTTTTTCCGTTTCGGAGTTACATAGTTAATTCCCAAAATAAATTCTGTTTTTTTTCAGTTTCGGAGTTACATAGTTAAGTCTCCGAATTAATTCTGTTTTTTCAGTTTTATTGTAATAACTCCCCTAGCAGTTACAAGGGTTGAGAGTTGTGTATTTAGACGGGTTCGTCTAACGTTTTGAGGTAGTTCAGATTTTAATCAAATTAATCAAAGAGAGTTTCTCTTAATTTCTGGTGGATTCCAGTTTCCTTGTTACTCAAGGTTTTCGTTTGAAACCTTATTTGCTTGTGCTGCGTCAAGTGGTATCAGAGCGGGTCTCTCCCGTCTTGGTATTCTTGTCTTATCATGGGTGATCGTGAAGCTGATGTCCCAGCCCCAATTACTCGAGCGGATCTGGACGCTCAAAACCAACGGATCGACAACCTAACCACCCAATTTGGGGAGATGCGAGAATTGTTGTTGCAAGCTCTTGGTGGCAACCATAGGCGAGGAGGCAGGGATGACGAAAGAAGAGAAGGCAGGGATGATAATCGAAGAGAAGGTAGAGATGGCGAGAGAAGAGATAATAGGAGGCAACTTATTCCGGATAGTGAGTCAGAGTCAGAAGAAGAACTTGAAGAACCACCACCACCGGCTAATAATCCTCGTAATCGTAATCGTAATTACGAGAATTTTGGCGACTATCGGATTAAAGCAGAAATTCCTAACTTTTGGGGAACTCTGAAGATTGAAGACTTCTTGGATTGGCTTGTAGAAGTGGAGAGGTTTTTCGATATTATGGAGGTTCCTGAGCATAAGATGGTGAAGATGGTAGCTTTCCGTCTTAAAGCTACAGCGGCTGTTTGGTGGGATCAATTGCAAAATTTACGGCAGAGGCAAGGAAAGCAGCGGGTTCGAACATGGCGGAAGATGAAGTCGCTTATGATGGAACGATTCTTGCCCACAGATTATGAGCAGATTCTCTACCGTATGTACCTAGGCTGTGCGCAAGGCACCCGTTCAGTTTCTGAATATACCGAAGAATTCATGCGTTTGGCAGAACGAAACCATTTGACTGAGACTGACAACCAAAAGGTCGCGAGGTACAACAATGGGCTGAAGATTTCCATCCAGGAAAAAATTGGTATGCAGAATATATGGACTTTGCAGGAGGCGATTAACATGGCATTGAAGGCTGAATTGTTGGAGAAGGAGAAACGCCAACCCAACTTCCGCAGGAACAAGACGGAAGCCTCTGAATACACTGCTGGTGCTTCTAGTGGCTCGGGAGATAAGGGGAAAGCACAGCAGCAGAATCTTGGAGGACCGACAAAACCAGCAACAGTTGGCCAAAACAAAAATTTCAACGAAGGTAGCAGCCGGAATCACAACAGAGGGCAACCCCGAAACCAGTCCCAGAATCCGTATGCTAAGCCCATGACGGACATATGTTACCGTTGCCAAAAACCAGGGCATCGTTCTAATGTTTGTCCAGAGCGGAAGCAGGCCAACTTTATTGAAGAAGCCGATGAAGATGAGGAAAACGGTGAAGTCGGGGAAGATGATTATGCAGGGGCTGAATTTGTAGTTGAGGAAGGAATGGAGAAGATTACCTTGGTTATGCAGAGAGTTCTTTTGGCACCAAAGGAGGAATGGCAGCGTCATAGTATTTTTCGTTCCCTCTGCTCAATCAAAAACAAGGTGTGTGATGTGATAGTCGACAATGGAAGTTGCGAGAATTTCGTGTCAAAGAAATTGGTGGAGTATTTGCAGCTATCTACGGAGCCTCATGTCAGCCCTTACTCACTAGGTTGGGTTAAAAAAGGCCATTCGGTTCGTGTAGCTGAGACTTGCCGAGTGCCACTGTCAATTGGTAAGCATTACAGAGATGAAATATTATGTGATGTTATTGACATGGATGCATGCCATATTTTGTTAGGGCGACCTTGGCAATTTGATGTGGATGCAACTTTCAAGGGACGAGATAATGTAATTCTGTTCTCTTGGAACAACCGAAAAATTGCAATGGCAACCACACAGCCCGCAAAGCAATCTGTTGAGCCCAAGACAAGGAGTTCTAGTTTCCTAACCCTAATTCGCAGCGAGCAGGAGTTGAACGAGGCTGTCAAAGAAGCGGAGTGTTTTTGTCCCTTGGTGTTGAAGGGGTTGTTGAAAATTGGCGGAGGAGAAGGTGACATTCCACAAGATGTGCAGCAGATTTTGAATCAATTTCAGGAACTACTTTCTGAAAATCTGCCAAACGAGCTGCCTCCTATGCGGGACATACAGCACCGAATTGACTTGGTGCCTGGAGCTAGCCTTCCGAATCTGCCCCATTATCGGATGAGCCCCAAGGAGAATGACATCCTGAGAGAACAGATTGAAGAATTACTGCGGAAAGGATTTATCCGGGAGAGTTTGAGTCCCTGCGCAGTTCCTGTTTTGCTGGTTCCAAAGAAAGACAAAACTTGGCGAATGTGTGTTGATAGCCGGGCAATCAACAAGATAACAGTCAAGTACAGGTTTCCCATTCCACGGTTAGAAGATATGCTGGACGTTCTTGGCGGCTCAAGGGTGTTTTCCAAGATAGATTTGCGAAGCGGATACCACCAGATTCGCATACGACCTGAAGATGAATGGAAAACAGCGTTCAAGAGCAAGGACGGATTATTTGAATGGTTGGTGATGCCATTCGGATTGTCAAATGCACCTAGCACTTTCATGCGACTCATGAATCAGGTTCTTCGACCATTTATTGGTTCTTTTGTCGTTGTTTATTTCGATGACATTTTAATTTACAGTACCACAAAAGAAGAACATCTTGTGCATTTGAGACAAGTTTTAGATGTGTTGAGAGAAAATAAGCTGTATGTGAACCTTAAAAAATGTACTTTCTGCACAAATAAGCTACTGTTCTTGGGTTTTGTTGTTGGTGAGAATGGTATCCAGGTAGATGACGAGAAGATCAAGGCAATCCTTGACTGGCCAGCTCCAAAGACAGTTTCTGAAGTTCGAAGCTTCCATGGCTTGGCCACCTTTTACAGAAGATTTGTGAAGCATTTTAGCACCGTTGCTGCACCTATCACAGAATGTTTGAAGAAGGGCCGGTTCAGCTGGGGAGAGGAGCAAGAGAGAAGCTTTTCAGAAATAAAAGAAAAGCTTTGCACCGCACCGGTTCTAGCTCTTCCAAACTTTGAGAAAGTTTTCGAAGTTGAATGTGATGCCAGCGGTGTGGGAGTCGGAGCTGTGCTCTCACAAGAGAAGCGGCCAATTGCGTTCTTTTCTGAAAAGTTGAGCGATGCACGACAAAAGTGGAGTACTTATGACCAAGAGTTCTATGCGGTTGTTCGAGCTTTGAAGCAATGGGAGCACTATCTTATCCAGAAGGAATTTGTTTTGTTTACAGATCATCAAGCGTTGAAGTATATTAACAGCCAGAAAAATATTGATAAAATGCATGCTAGATGGATGACTTTTTTGCAGAAATTTTCGTTCGTTATCAAGCATACTTCCGGCAAAACCAATCGTGTAGCAGATGCGCTGAGTAGGAGAGCTTCATTATTAGTCACGCTGACTCAAGAAGTTGTGGGGTTTGATTGTTTGAAGGAATTATATGCAGGTGACGATGATTTCCGGGAAATTTGGATTAAGTGCACTAATCAAGAGCCAATGGCAGATTACTTTCTCAATGAAGGTTATTTGTTCAAAGGCAACCAGCTGTGTATTCCAGTTTCTTCTTTAAGGGAGAAGCTCATTCGGGACTTGCATGGTGGAGGGTTGTGTGGCCACCTAGGCCGTGACAAAACAATTGCATTGATGGAGGAGAGATTTTACTGGCCACAGCTCAAACGTGATGTTGGAACTATTGTGCGCAAGTGCTACATTTGTCAAACTTCGAAGGGGCAGGTACAAAACACTGGATTATATATGCCATTACCAGTTCCTAACGATATTTGGCAGGATCTTGCTATGGATTTTGTCCTCGGATTGCCCCGAACACAAAGGGGAGTGGACTATGTATTTGTGGTGGTTGATTGGTTCTCAAAAATGGCGCATTTCATAGCCTGCAAAAAGACTGCCGATGCATCAAATATAGCCAAACTGTTTTTCAGGGAGGTTGTTCGCTTGCATGGGGTTCCTACATCCATTACATCTGATCGTGACACCAAGTTCTTGAGTCATTTTTGGATCACTTTGTGGAGACTGTTTGGGACTACTTTGAATCGTAGCAGCACTGCCCATCCCCAAACTGATGGCCAGACTGAGGTTACAAACCGGACATTGGGCAATATGGTGCGAAGCGTCTGTGGAGAGAAGCCGAAACAATGAGATTATGCATTACCACAGGTGGAGTTTGCATACAACAGTGCAGTCCATAGCGCTACTGGGAAGTCTCCATTTTCCATTGTTTATACTGCTATACCTAACCATGTTGTAGATTTGGTGAAACTGCCTAGAGGCTAGCAAACCAATATGGCAGCGAAAAATTTGGCTAAGGAAGTGGTAGCCGTTCGAGATGAGGTCAAGCAGAAACTTGAGCAAACAAATGCTAAGTACAAAGCTGCTGCGGATAGGCATCGACGTGTTAAAGTGTTTCAAGAAGGCGATTCTGTGATGATATTTCTGAGGAAGGAGAGGTTTCCAGTTGGCACTTACAGCAAGCTTAAACCGAAGAAATATGGTCCTTACAAAGTGCTCAAACGGATCAATGATAATGCCTATGTTATTGAGTTACCGGATTCCATGGGAATTTCCAATATTTTTAATGTTACAGATTTATATGAGTTCCGTGAAGATGAGGTTCTTTATCCCGAACATAACTCGGGGACGAGTTCTTCGGAGGTGGAGAGGACTGATGTAGAACAGATTGAAGATTTTATCGCGGTTGAGCAAGAAAAGGGACGTGGTGGGAATTTGCAGAATTGTCATCCGAGCTCCGATTAGGGCACAAAATACCATTTCGGAAAGGGAACGATGCCACGAGTCAAACTCACAGCTTTGCTGTGATGTACGATGGATTTTGGCATTCTGGAGTCGTTTGGCCTTTCAAAACTGCAGTCAAAGTTCGAAGTTAATTCTAAATAAATTCTGTTTTTCCGTTTCGGAGTTACATAGTTAATTCCCAAAATAAATTCTGTTTTTTTTCAGTTTCGGAGTTACATAGTTAAGTCTCCGAATTAATTCTGTTTTTTCAGTTTTATTGTAATAACTCCCCTAGCAGTTACAAGGGTTGAGAGTTGTGTATTTAGACGGGTTCGTCTAACGTTTTGAGGTAGTTCAGATTTTAATCAAATTAATCAAAGAGAGTTTCTCTTAATTTCTGGTGGATTCCAGTTTTCTTGTTACTCAAGGTTTTCGTTTGAAACCTTATTTGCTTGTGCTGCGTCATTAAGTTGTTATCAAGTGTTATGCCCAAGTGACTTGCTTATTCGGATGCCAGCAAATTTGGCTTCCAAACTTATGCGATGATGTACCAATTTGTTGTCAACTTATACAAGACTGATACAAGTTAAAGACACAGAACTAATGCATATTTCATAGAACTCAAATGGAGTTGGTTAATTTTTTCTTTTTTCTTTTTTTATTCATCACTCGTGTTCCTCATAGAGCCAACATTGGCATTTATGGCCCAAAAATTGATGGTCTCCATTTCCAATCACCCAAGTCCCTCCTAAAAAGCCCCTCCCCCTCCCCTAACACAGGAATACCAAAACCAAGGGGAAATCCACTCCCTGAATAATGACATTTCCCCAGAATGAGATTTCCCCACAGCAATATAAGTAGAATGAAACATTCTCCAGAACTCCTCGCAATCCAAGAAGAATGTGGGCCTTAAATAGACACTCATAAAATGAATCAACCCCTAAGTGCCTATTTGACATTGATTATTTGGAGTGATAAGTGATTTTTAAAAAATTCTGGAAGTCCAACCCGTTTGGTAAACCAGGAGAAAATCACTTATTGTTAAAAATTGTTGTGAGAGAAAGCTATAAAGGAAAGAAGGTATAGAGCTGCTTCTATTTTCTGATTATACGGCAATCAGTTTGGAGAGGAACTAAAATTTAATGAAATTTTCATAATTCTAAAAATAACCCCATATATTTTCTGGCATAGAAACTGATTATTGTACCAATATCAAGTTTAACAAAATATCTACCAAACGCCAAACAGTTTTCTTTCACAGCAAATTTGACAAAGATTATTTTCACAGCACATCAATGCCAAACTAGGCACATAATCCAACATCAGAAACATCACACCTCAAAATTTATAACCCCTAAAAAAAACTCCCCTTATATCCACACCTTGAGCAAACCATTACCAAACTCAAAATTTTCCGGAAACTGGCAACAAAAAAGGCATCAAACACTCTCTTTCTTCTCTCAACTTTCTTCACCTTGAATAACCACATTAAAGCCAAAATTGAATAACATAAACCATGATAATATATATTTTTGTGCCATATTTGGAAAATGGGCCAAAGTTGGTTTGTTTTTCAAATAAGATTACATTAGACCCGAGCCCAATTTCTTTCATTCAAAACTGACGAAAAGGGCTTTTTTGGATTTGGGCCAGTAATTAGTGAAACCCACTCAAAAGCCCATATTGAGAAAAGACCCTAGTTTTAACCCACACTAAAGTTAGAAAATGGGTAACCGTTACCAGTTGACCCACGTGACGGTTTGAAGATGGGTTTTCGCCATTAAGAATGACTTGACCGCCATCTTTCTTAGCAAGAATGCAGGCTAGATAATTGACCCAAAAACCAAGAGAAATCATATTCCGACTGGTTGTCAAGCTACGAAAGAAGGACAAATCAAAGGGACATCCCTTTAAACCAGTATTTTCATCTAAAATATTCTTTCTCCTTCCTTTGGATCGACTCATGAGGACAAATCAGCAGCTGACTTTGGACAACACTCAAATATCATCCTCCAGCCTTCACCGTCATCATTAGGGACTTTTGCCTATAAATATAGAGGCTCGACAGCAGCACAAGAGGACTCTCTCTCCAAAATCAGACGCAAAGCCTTGTAAACACTTGAACAAACGTCAAGATTTTTCGAATAGCCAACTTGCTGCCCATATAATCAGTTGACAACTCCTGCACTTATTTTTTATTGCTATAGTTCTGGTTTCCTTCTCGGATTGCAAAAGACAAGTTTTCCCTTGATGCATTTCTGACTTTTCTATTTCTTTTTGCGTTTGGGTTTTTGTCTGTATGCATGTTTTCTATCTCCTTCTTTTCCCCCTATTTTTCTTCAGATAATTTGAAAGGATATTTGTTGGATAAGCAACGTGTGAGTTGCAATAATCTTGGCTAGGGTGAATTCAGATGGGAAAGATGGTCTATTCAAAGAGTCTTTGGTATTGGAAGCCTACCTTGAGTCCTATGTAAAGATCACCATGAGTAGACCAATGTGGAAGACTACCCTGAGTATGTTGTTGGTAAGAACAACACGTTTAATGGTTAATTGATCAAATAAGTAAAATAAATTTCGTACTGGGTTATTGAATCAAATATCCGTTAACTTAACAAATCGAATATGGATTTGTTATCAATAGTCCACTAGATTAACCAATCAAATTGTTTTTTATTATTAGATCGGGTGTAGAAAATCAGCCTCGAACACATTCAAACAACCAATTTTATCTCTTGTTGTTAAGTTTTTTCAAATTTCATATGATTTTCAGTTAATAAAGGGTCAATTTGTAATTCCAAGTAAAATTATGGAAGTGGACACAAGTCACTGTTTATGGCTCACAAGTTGATTGAGGGGCGTAAAATAAATGAAGGCTGGACGACGTGAAACAAAAGTTACCTAGTATGATATGCCATATGATAAATGAGGCCTCACTTTTGATTATATTTCCTTGTTCAAAACAGTCGAAAGTTTAGACTGAAGGTCTCAGATTACATCATTTGTGTGTGTATGGTGTGAGAAATCTCCCTCCCTTCTAGTTTAAATTAACTTACAGATTTTATTTTTTTTAATAAAAAATAAAATTTATTAAACATGAGATATGTTCTTGCAACAGGGAACGACAAAACCTTGCCAAAATTACATCACCATTGAGACGTCTACCCATCATGACTTTGCACTCATCAACGCTCTTGGATTCTCCAAGTCTACTGACCATCCTCTTACGCCTCTTGGGTGTAATGCACCCAAACCCAAACTCACACCCATCATCCATCACATACATCTTAATCGCCTCCTTCAAATTATTCACCTTCTCTTCTTCTGTTGCCCCGTCAATGAACTTGTTGCAGCTCCAAAGGTGATATTTTGCCATCTTCATTTGCTCCATTTGTCCGTTAATTCAGTTCAATTCAATCAACTTTTTCTTCTTATGTATGGAAATGGAAGCACTAGTCTTTTTACACTATTATGCTTTCTCGTAAGAGCAAAGGTTATGCGATTAACATATGACCACAATGACGCGTTGACAAAACGTGGTGTGTAAGTAGGTACAAGTATGGCAGGAGAATAGCAAGGTTTCTTTACTAGAAAATGACTGGGTTTTTACCTTGATCAGAACAGAACATAACAGAACACACAAATATTAAGTAGGCTAGCAGCAGCTGCTGTTCACAAGTTTCTAAAGCTCACCTCACACACAAAAACAGATTATTACATATAGGGATATCCAAGCTTATTAAGCGTTGGTAATTAGTACTGAAGGAAATTAAGCAAAAATTAATTAAGGCTACTGAATAGCATATAGGGTCTGCACTAGGGTGAGGACCAGGAGGATAAAGGCCGCGATGAAAGAGATGATTCTCCATGGGGTGGAAAAATAGTCACTCCTCAATATTTCCATAAACCTGTGCCATTTAGTCTTGTAATACTTATTCACATCGTCGGAGAGATCACTGTAGTAATACCTGACGGTGGTGTCATTGTAAAGCTTGTTGAAGAATTGGGCAGCATCATCCGCGTTCAACCAATTGGCCAATATTCCTTTGTCACAAAGAAAATCTACATCGTCTTTGGAGTCGATGAGGTTATCCATCAAAACGGCGTAGGATGTTATCTTGTGCAGGCGATAGTGGTGGCATTGTTCAAAGGCGATGAGGTTCCTGAACAGAGGCTCTGTCCTCTCATCAATTCCCAGCGGCGGAATTGTAAAAACCCCTTTTTTGAACTCTATGTTCATTATGCACCCTCCCTCTCCCTTTGTTTGGCTTTTTCTGAACTTTATGCCTGCCTCCGAAAGAGATGTTGCGTTTGGGATCCGTTGAGGCAAGTTTAGTTCATTCTTTTTCTGCTTCTTTTCCACATGCTCATCCAACTTCTCCTCGAATCCATTAACCATCACGGTTCTTACCAGATCAAGTATGTGCAAAATCTTACGTGGCTGGCTGAAGCTGTGGGTCAACATCAGTTCATCCGCCGAGGATTGCCTGAAGAAGTTGAGCACGAGATAAGGGAGGGAGGCCTCTTGGCTAGGGCAATTGGCAGTTAGGTTGTACAAACACTCCAGCACAGACCAAGGTAGCTGATTTTCTAGCAGCAGAAGGTCATGGTACAGATGTTCCCGCGTGCAGCACACGTCGAAAGCGGGGTCGTAATCCTCTTCTAGCTCACAACAATATGCCTTTCGAAATAGTTGTAACAGGAAGCAACCGTCAAGTATCATCATTTCTACAAAGTCTTTTTCATTGAGATCATCCAACGGGTACGCGTAACAGTCGCGGGCGCTTTTAGCCAACTCCATGATCACTTTGATCAAGCTCTCCAAACTTACATACTGGGATGAGGAGAGAAGGCAATGTAAATACCACCGTTTCACATCTTCGAAGAGTTTGAATTTTTCAGCACGGTGGTGGCGATGGATGGGTCCGATGGAGACAATGTTAGGTTCATAGGCCTCTATCTTTTGTCTCCGAATCACCTCGGGAACTCTGAAGATGCAGCACGAAGGAAGCCAGGGCGAATGGCTAAGAAGCTTCTTTCTTAAGTCTTCGACAGTGGGTTCATCTTTTATAGGAATTGACGTGCTCTCCCCATCAACTCTTTCTTTTATTTCAATTTCCATGACCGTAGATATATGCTTCCAATATCTGAATATAATTGTCCTCAAATAATTAATGCTAAATTCTACATGGTTTTCACAAAATAATAATAATAATAATAATCTATATATATAAAGCAAAAGACAAAGAATAGTGAAACATTCAAAATACCAAAAAATGCCCTTTGTTAATTCAAACATTAAGAATTGAAATTATTAATTAAATGAAGATAATATGGTAAATTCACTTTTTTTCATTTTTAAAAAATTAAAATTAAAAACAAAATCAGATAATAGGTCATACTTTTATGGAACATAACTACCCATGTTATCTTTTCTTAATTCTAAAAATAAAATAAAAAAGAAAAAAGAATACCAATTGGCACATGCATGAGTATGTGCCAGAGGGCTAGTAATAATATATATATATTGTTTTTAAAAAAGTGAAAATTCCCAAAGTAAATATATATATATATATTGGGTGTGGAGCCCTTAGCTTTTTAAATGTTGCATCTTCTCTTCACTCGCTCTGTGCACAAAATGGAAAATTCACACAACGTGCACAGAGCGAGTGAAGAGAAGGTGCAACATTTAAAAAGCTAAGGGCTCCACACCCAATATATATATATATATATATATATATATTTACTTTGGGAATTTTCACTTTTTTAAAGACAATATATTTATTATTTATGGATGAAACAAATTTTTTTATTAATTAAGAAAGATAGTCATTGATGAATTTGCATGATGCACATTCATATTTTGAATATATTGATTAATTAGGAAAAGAAAAATAAAGAAAAGAAGAACTTGCAATTTATTTACTTGTGCCGGAGATTAAATTAACAAAGAACTTAACTATATTAAATTAATAATTCAACAATATTGTTTTTGTTCAATATGTGCTTATATATATATATATATATATATTAAATTAAAGTGTTTCTAGGTTAAGCCATCAGACTCTAATATCTCTGCACTTCTTTTTTGTGGTCCTAATTAATAAAAAATGAAAACTCACTTCTAATTACTCCTTTTTTTTTCTTTTTCTTTTTTGGGCGTGAAATCATATTCTAGTAAGTTCTAATGACTACTCTATCCTCACACTCAAGATGCAGCATCCTGTGGTCTTTCGTAGATAAAATGCTAGACACGTGTAGTGCAGGCAGCGATTTTTAAACAGATACTGATCTGGTCCAAAACGATTCGTTTGGCCAGATCATTAAAAAGAAAAGTAGAACGCGTTGCTTTGCTCTGTTCTTCTCTCCCGCCTTTCCGCAAACGGGTTGTGGGCATTCTTGCCCAGCCACCCAACCGCCCAAAGGTCAAGATGACTGACTTCTGTGGGTGGGCCACTGCAGAGGGCCTCACTTCTAAGAGCGCCTTCAAAATATTATATTATGTATATTAATGTTATTTTATTGAGTTTAGTTAATATAATATTACTCTGTTACAAAATTGGTCAAAGAGTTGATAAATTTTTTTTAAAAAAGAAACTGATCAAAGACCTAAAAAAGAAGAAGTGGTGAGCCAAAATTTTAAAAAAATACCTAAAAAGACCTAAAAGACCTAAAAAAGAAGAAACTGATCGAAGACCTAAAAAAATAAATTTAACAGAAACCACCTAAAAAGGAAGAAGTGAGTGAGCCAGTAAGTAAAAATATGTAAGCACAAATATTTAATTGTAAAACCTGGTTATTACCCGTAAGCACAAATATTAAAAAAAATTAGAGCAAAAAAAAAAAACAACACACAAAAAAAAAAAAAAAAAAAAAAAAAAAAAAAAAAAGTGTCCTTAAATACTTCCAATTATTTTGCATGAGACCCCTAAAATCTCAAAGGTCATAGCCGCTCATCTTTTATTTTATTTTATTTTTTGGTCGAAGATGATATTTCATTAACGAAGGACAATAAGAAACAACCGAATACATAAACAAAGCAAACCGCAAAGGAGCAAATAACAAGGACACCACCACACAAAGGCTACAACGTCCAACCTTGCAGACTGCAAGCTAGCAACTTAATATATGGGTGGTGGCAAAGTGGGCTAAATTCTCCCTCTCTCCCCTCAAATGCACTCAGGTTCGATTCACATTCACGTAGGAAACAATCTTGAGATAACCCAATATAATACTCTCCCTCCCTAGCAAATGATTAAAAAAAAATAGATAGAGTAGTGAATCCATAATTTTATTCTGAGGAGTCATGTTGTACAAATTACAAAAAAGAATTTAGATGAAAAAAAAGACTCATCACAAAACAAACACTCATATCAATTAATGATAACAAAAATAATCATCAATGTTCCAATAAATCAAATCAATATCAACAAACCATAAATTATATACGTAATTTCAATTAAATTAAAAACATCATACATTATTATCAATTAGAGCCTAGAGTTTAAAACTTACTTGAAATTTGAGATATTTCACACCAATATGCGGCGGTAGCTATGGTGGGATGATGCCAAGACACCGAGGGCAGTGGCAGCAGGCGATGGTAGTTGGGGCTTAGTATTTGTGCAATTAAGGAAGAAAATTAGAAACTAGGGCTATTTTTGTGCCCACCAAAAAGTTGAGATAAAATGGGTAGAGAGAAACATGTGTACCTGAAAAACCAAACAAATACTGTGATGCAGTGCAGGAGGTCTAAATTTGTATCTGTGACTTCTCTTCTTAACACTAGCTAACTACCACGTTAGAACAAGATTCAGTAGATGAAGAAGGGACATTGATGAGGAGGATATCAAAAAGTAAAATAGTGCTGCTCTTTTCTTGTGATCATGAAGAAACTAGGAGGTATATTCATCATAAAACACTCGTTCAACATAATTCTAATTAGTTTTTGCCGGGCCTGCTCTACGCTGCTGGTCGTGTATATATATATATATGATCTCCCCATAACACAAATGAAGAAGTGTAGAACGAACATAGATATTTTTGCATGTGATTAATAAGAGTTAAAGCTTGTGGGACAATCAATGGAAACAAACAACTTATGAGACCAATGACAGCTAGCATCTGCCAATCATTAAAGGGACATTTTAGAAAAAGCAAAAAGAGAGAGAAAATTTTTAAAAGAAGCAAAAATGGACAAAAATGCCCTTATTTATTTTTAGATTTCCTAAGGAATCCAATACATTTGCATGTCTTTGATTTGAAAGTTGAGCGGTTTTTTTGTCTTTTTTGAAAAAGCTTTGGCTTTTTCCAAAAGTGAAAATTTTTTTATGTCTAAAAGCCTGTGGAAAAAAACGCAATTTTAACGTTTTCTTTCCAACCATCATTCAGCTTTGATAGTTTGGTTTGGAGCTCCAAACAGATTCAAATATTTCCGTTTTGCACTTCACCTCACAATTGAAGGGTTAGTTTGATTTTTGCTTCACTGGCATGTTATGTTAATATGGTTAGTTATATATCAATCAGTCACTCCAAAGAAGAAGGGAAAAAAATAAAATAAAGTAAAGTGTTTTGAAAATAATTGAGAACGTCATGCATTCATCATTCCTTATCCAGCCCTAGTAGCAAAACTCGTTTTGGGCTGACGTCAGCGCTGGAGTTTAATTTTTTTTTAACGTTGGCGCGTGCATTGCACGCGCCAACATTAAAAAAAATTTGACGCGCCGCTATAGTGCCCGCCCAATAGCTCTCTTCCACGTGTCGTCTGCTGGGCCATCCGATCAGCTTTTTAAACATATCCAACGGCAGCTTTTTTTTCGCGAATAAAAAAATCGGAAAAAGCAAGCCCCAACGGCTCTGTGCCACGTGGAAGCTTCTGGGCTTTCCGATTTTTTTTTCCAGCCATCCAACGGCAGGGAATTTTTTGCCCAATAAAAAAATGAAAAAAATACCAAAAAAATACTGAAATTGTTTTCTATAAATACCAACCAATACTCTTCACTTTTAACATCAACAACCAATATTTTTGTAATAAAAATTTGAAAAAAAACCAAAAAATTACTTTTTTTTTCTTCTCTCTATACCTTATTTCCATTTTCAACATTTAAGTAAATGTCTTTGTCCTTTTACTTTTATTTATTTTTATATTACTCCATTTACTTAAGTTTACAATGTAAATAAGGAAGTACCCCCCATTTGGATTCAAATAAAAATACTAGAAAATCAAATTCCCACCAAATCAAAATATGAAAAATCGGTTTTAGTGCAAATACGATTTAGGCTAAAAATGATGGCTCATTAAGTCAATATATACTTCATATTAAAATCCCATAAAATCAAGTTTTCTTATTTGATGTGTAAGGAATAAAAGCCGCCAAAAATTTTCTTGAGAAAATGATTATTTCGAAAAACCATTTTTCATACTTAGTCAATATTGCACCTCCGCAAAAAATCTTGAGAAAATGATTTTTCATACGTAGGAACCCAAAAATCTTATCCGAAAATATTATCCAAATTAATTGTTTAAATAAACAAAGTTGTGAAAAAAACAAAAAAATGAATAGTATTTGCCATGGCAAGAGGCTAACTGTTGGAAACATACTTTGCTGGGGGGAAGTTAGGGCAACCACTATTCACATGAATAGTAGCTGCCCTAGGGCTCCCCTTGCCATGGCAAGGGGCTAACTGGTGAAAGTGCTCTTATGGGAGGGGATATCCTTGAAGTTTATAAAAACACAGACAAAATAAATAAATATAAATAAAAAACTGGAAGAGGCTATTTTTAGGTGCCGTTTGTGCGAAAGCCGCCAAAACAGGAAATATGCTGATAAGGTTAGAATGGGCCCGAGCACAGATTAGGCCACAAAGAGTGCGATTCTCTGGGCCCACTTCAAATTTGGATACATAAAAAACGAGAAAGAAAAATCACTGAACTCTGGGCTCGCTCAATGTCTTTTTCTACAGGATTTCTTCTTTGTTACTTGTCAATACTGATGTTGTAAAGTCAAGAATGTGGAGCCAAAAATAATAGAACCTAATTGATTGAAGATGAATAATGGTAAAGCTTTTCTGCCAACACTCACGTGAAGCCAAAGAAATATGAGTAAGCAGCCACCGAATTCTGCCTACAAATAATGCTTCCCCCTTCCTTCCACCGACATACCATCTGAGAAGAAATGAGAGCCCAAGTATAGAATAAAGAAAGGAAGGAAAGAAAGAGGGTGAATGAGTGGATTGAAAATGAGATATGAGAGATATTCTCCGAGAGAGAAGAAACATATATTATAAACACTAAAATTGTAGCCTTATTCTTTTACATAGTGGAAAAGTTACTGTTGTTGCTCTCCGAGGACGTCGGCAAGGCCGAACCTCGTTAAATATTGTGTCTCATTTACTTTACACGCAGCTCAATATTCCAGCATATTCCATTCATTTTGCAACAACTAACAATCTTTCTTTTATTTTTAACGGAGCTCCAAAAAGAACAAATTTTGAAGGTGATTGTCATGGTAATTACTTGATGTTAGAGAACCTCTATGTCCAGGGGAACTATGAGTTCAAGGAACCATCGAGTTATACTCATATGACCCTACTTCTTGTTCTTTATGCATAAACATATTCAAGTTCCATGTTCAAGACTTGACATCTAATCATTAAAGTGATCATCTATAAAAAAAACAAAAATAAAACAAAAACAAAAATAAACTACGTAACTGGGCCTTGATGGAATAAGAACTTTAGCATTAGCTTCATGTATGTAGGAAAAGTAGCAAATAATTTCAATTGTAAATTTAATGTGGAAGCGTAGGAACGAGTACAAACATTTGGAAGTAAACACGTTAGCATAATAATGTTGGTGTAACAACAATTAGAACGGTTGCAATTATATAGGCTTGCTAAAAAATTCTAACATCTGTTATAATGGATAAAAATAGTTGCATAGGTCAATTGACAAGAACAGTGTGTACCCTCGTTATACTCAAGTTTGAATCTTCCTCTAGTTTTATTACTTGTAAAATTAAATAAATAAACAAAATGGTTTGTCTAAAATAACTGGTCTCACCAAAATTAAAGCAATTACATTACAACATCTTCTGCCGTGGAAAAAACACACAAAACATAAAAGAAGAATAAAAAAAGAGAGAGATAACAAATTATACTGGTAAGAGTAGACTACCTCCTGTTGCTCTTGTTGGAGGGGAAAAAGCAATGAGGGGCATATTACAGTAGAAGAAGAGTCAGCATCAACTTCACAGCTAACAATTCCCGAGCTGTAAAGTAAGCTCAAGGTATTTGGGAGAGTTCATTCTGCTGGCCATCACCAAAACCAGCATATCAATGTATTTTGAATCTTTAATCGCTTTCCACTTGTTGGACTGAACACGCTCAAATTGCCTATAAAAAATTGCTTGTCATTGAAGACTTCCCCAATATATTTAGAGCCATCATCCTTTGGATCTCTTTTGCTGCATGATGCATTGATCACTAGAGTTAAATAAATCAATGACAGAGCCATAAAATGTGAAAAAGGTGATATTTTCAATGACTATATTAATAAATATTTATTCTTTGAGTAGTTAGATTTTTGCATAAAGCTTACCTTCCTCAACTGATAGCTGCATTGATCTTTTCTCTAGCTCAACGGCATGTCTGCTGAGCTCAGATGGCGATAAATAACGAAGCGCTGATAACATTATGAACAAAGAGCATTTTCAGTGCTGGCAAAATTAAAGGCAGAAAAGTTGGTATGAAATTTTTTAAATTGAAACAGCAATGCCATAACACAATGACCCACTCTGGATGTAATCTCTCTGATCAGAATCATCAAATTGCTTCAAGAGGTTCTGCAAATGTAGAAACCCTTCTGTCCTTTGCTCATCATGGTTCTTCTCAGAACCAACCAAGTGAGGAACCAGAGATTCAGGAGTGAATCTAAGGTGCCTGGAATGAGCAGCTGGCAAACCATTACTGGCCTTTCCAAGAAAAATTGGAACTGGTGGTTTACCAGGTGAAAATTTAACCGGAGAAGCCGAAGGCATTGGTGCAAACGCAGATGTCTCATGTTCCTGCTTCTTGGTTCTGTCTCTAGGTAGGTCTTGCTGCTTTTGCGAACAATATCGTTTGAAATTGAGAGAGTAAGTATTTTGTTCTGTCACACCTTGAACTCTTCGCTTGCCTAGTGCTGACTCTAACTTCCTCGCACCACCGCCATGCATGAGCTGATCACTTGCACTGTTGATGCTCGTGAATTGGTGACAAGGTGGGCTCCGTGGCAACTCAGGGTTGAGTATCTTAGTTCCCAAAACCTTAATGGGATCCGCGACTGGTCGTCCTAGAAAAAAATTCTCAGGATAATTTGGCATAAAGTTCCTATTATCATTCTGTACATCTCTCAATGCTATCTTTTTCATCGGTAATGTTGATTGCGTAAGGCACACAGATGAACCAACCACACTGTTTCCCAGTGCATTGTTGTTGAGGTTAGAGCTCACCATTTGAGGGATCAGAACAATTAACTTGGCTAAGAGGATTTAAGGTCCTGGCTGCAGAGGCATTAGCAGAAAAAGAAAGATAAAATCAATAAAGATATCCTTGAGTGAAAACAACAGGCCCAATTTAACTATCATGCTAAAACTCATTTAGCTTAAACGAATAGCGGATACAACAAACATTTTCTTCCTGCTGCCCTACTTGAATGAAAAGAATCACACAAAAAAAACAAAATTTAACTCCTCCTGCTACACAACTTGAGGTGATTTAACTTTTTACAGGAGGGAAGCCACAATCTATGTCGAAAATGTAGTCATTATAACATGGAGTCACCATAAATGGCATGTTATCATAGGGAGATAAAGTTCAATTACTCAGGAAAATAGGAGCACTTTGCCAGTTTCTGAAAATGCCCTCCATTCTGAAAGCAATCTCAAATTTAAAAGACCCACCTAGAGAGTGTTTAAAGCTGGTCACTTTATCAAATCACATAGTGGGGAAATATTTCAACCATCCAATCTCAACAATTGGTAACAAGAAAAACAAATTTGACGAGCCCGTGAGTCCAATTTCAACAACATATAAACATCGCCCGCCTTTTTCAAAACCCATTTGCAAAAAATAATTAGAAAAAGAAGAAACTTAATCAACTCTGCTCTAAACTGAGAGTATCAGTACAAATCTATGGTGGGTACTCATCAACTGTTTTGCATACAAAAGTTGCAGTCTAAATGGAGCTGCCACTATTCATAAACCCTATGAAGAAGAAGTTCAAGAGCCAAAGGAAATTAAATTGAACAAGATTCAATTATATAATAAATATTTGTGCGTGCGTGCGTGCGTGTAAGAGAGAGAGAGATAGAGAGGGTACGATGCTCAAATTTGTGACAGATAAACAGCAGAGATTCATAGAGTGGAGAAAGAATTACCGTTTGGAGTTTGGAGTTGGGGGGATCTGCAAGTGTTTGGAATGGATCTGAGGGTGAGGGAGGGAGACTGTTCAAAAAAGGAAATTTGGCTCCAAAGGAGGCGGAGAGGTTTAAACTGGGTTTAAAATATAGGCGGGCCCCACGCTACGTAGATTGGGCCCATCGGCGGCCTATGCAGGAAGGTGCTTTTTTGATCCAACAACTTCCATTCCATGTTGTGCGTTTACTGAATTTTTTGTATTTTCACAAAAACTCGTGAAGTTTTTAAAATTGCATTAAATTAACCTCCTCTTTGTTTTCAATTTATTTACACTGATACTCATCGAAATTTTTTTTCTTCATATTTCCACAAAACTTATGAGGTTTTTAATGGAACGAATTTTGTAAAAACAATTTGAAATTTCAAAGGATATTAGTGTAATTTTTGAAATCTCGGGAGTTCAGTAAAAATACTAACAATCTTTACAAGGTGTCAATGTAAAAAATTCTATCTACTACCCGCCAGTAAGTTACCTGAGCGAGTAGTTCATTGTAAACATGTATAAAAATGTTGACTATATTTTACCTTCCAACGATTTACTTGCGTTGTACAGGTAAATTAATAGACTAATTGGCCAACCAAGGTACGTACAATATTTTACACCAACAAAACCACTCATTAATCAAAGAACATAAGCAGCCAGCCGAGTCCTTAACTCGGCATTTATCTGCAAATCTTTAGTCTCATATTCGAAATCCAATGTCACCTCTCCTCCCCTCCCCTCCCCTCCCGAACTTCGACAAAAATAAAATAAAATCAAGGACCATAAGCATAAGACCCCAACAAAAAGACAGAGAAAACCAAACCAACGAACCCATCCACATGCTCAATTTCTCATGAACCATTATGTACTATGAATCATAATACCAACCCCCATCTGTCCCCACCCTTTGGATCCCAAAATGCAAGTGAACGTTACAATCATCTAGAATGGAAGTAACATGCCCAACATAGTGTGTAGAAAGACACTATTGTAGTAGATCATGTTATGGGGTGATCCTACTTTTTTTTTCCAGCAAAATAAATATACTGTTGTCACATGGAAAAAAGAAAAAAAAATTCTAATTAGTTTATTGATAACAGAAAAACCTATATTTCCAAAAAAATAAAGGATTCCATTTCAAAATCTTACAAAATAAATAAGAAACGTGTAAATAAAAAGTTTCCGTTTTTCTTTTATTTTGAGCTATGGAGATATTGATACACGTCAAAAAAGAATTCTTTACTGATACACAAGATGACGGCATTTCAGCATCAAATTACATTCTTAAGATGGACACAGCCTCTCCATGTACAAATGCGGATGCAGTCCTCTCCGTTGGATATAATTATAAGTTAGGAACTAATTTGTGTGAGATATTTCTTTCCGTATTTCTCCCATGCTCTGCTTGTGTGTTGACAAACATACACGCGTGTAGCTAGGGTTTTATGGTGGCGGGTGATCATCCTCTGGTGTTTGAGGTGGGATAGGTTTCCAACCTGGTTTCTCATCCCAGTACATGTCATAGTATATGTGACCAGGAGTGTGTTCCGCCACACAACACCATATACCAACGTACCGCTTCACGCGGTTCCTGAATTTCTCTTCCCTTGCCTGAGCATAAATTCATATATCATCAGAACATGATAAATAAGCATGTACTAACGGTTCAACCATTAATATGAGACCAAAGAAAAAAAAAATATCGAAAAGACTTGCCTTGTCAGTGAAACCTGGGAAGGCATCTTGCATAGAAGAAAACTGAATTACTTTTACATCCTTGAATGAGGAGAATATTGTCTTGAACTGCATATACAAGTGAAATACAATATGGTAAGAACATTAGAGTTAATAGAAACAGAGTTAGAGGAAAAAAAAAGAACATTCTAGAATATTATGTCTCAAAAGTCGGTCTGAGTCCTGACCACCTATATCTTGTCACAGTACTTATCCCCTTTAAAGGCCACTAAAACTCTGACCATTTCATGAGCCAATGATGAATATAGTTTGATTAACTGATAATGTTTGAACAAACTGGCCCAGTTTCAGCTTCATAATAAATTAGAGATCATTATAGATGCCGGCCCAACAAGGGTGTCCCTCAAATAAGCTTATTTGAGGGATGCCAAAAATGACAGATAGCCTTTCACTAAACCGTATATGTATATATTAATAGATGTATAGAGTCTTTTCAAGAAAATAAGTGCGTACACACACACACACATTCAGAATACCGTTTCTTCATTGCTTCTCTTTGGAAATCTCAGCACTCCTGATGGGCTGGTAGTATTTGAAGCAACGCAGTCTCGGGTTCCTTCTTGACAAAGCTGGACCTCAAGCCATGATTCTTTCACCTGAAAAAAAGATTCATAAATGTATAAGTTGTACTCTAAGAGAGGGGGGTGGGGTAGGGGTAGAGAAGAAAAGTGCTACTTTTGAGTTAAGTTTCACTGATACTCATTTACCTGTTTTGGCATCAATGGATTGTCAAAAAATGAGTATTCTCTTATATTGATCTGGGGCCCAAATATCTCCTCTGGCAATTCCTTGAGCATGACATTTACCTGCGTTCACAGTAGTCTTTCATTAGCTTCCCGAAGGGACTCAGAATAGGAAAACCAGAGTAAAATGTGACTTTGAGATCCCTTAATATTCCTATGATTTATTTGTTCAACTCATAGGAAGCTTCACTCAGTACAAACAGACCCATTATTATGAACAACGGATTTCAATTCGGTTTAAACGAAATGTAAGCTTTGACAAATGATGGAAAATAGCTATAAAGTAAACAACAATTTTTAGAAATAAATATTAAGAACTACTCCAGATAAACAAAAGTTGGGCAGGAAGAAGCTGGTCCAGACTAATTTCAGAGAGAGCTTGGTATGGATTAAAGAAAGAGGTAAAACAAAAGCAAAAAAGAGAAAATCGACTGTTCTGAGGTAGCTGTAGGAAAACAATATAACTGACATCCGCTTCTTACTGCCTCTTTTTCTCTCGGCAAACATTTTTCCAGTATATTTTGAATTTCAGCTTTATCTACAATGAAAACCTTTTAAATGATTATAACAAAGGGTCCACAGATAGGATAGAGAAAGAAAAGAAAAATAAAATTATGCACACAATCCTTGTGGTTAGATTGTAAAATTTGTATTGTCCTTGGGGTTTGCTTCATGACACTTATTCTTTCTTTTATGTGGTTTCCTCAGTAACAAAAACTCATTAATTTTTAAAGAAGATGAAGCATTTGCATGCAGCATGATGATTTTTTAGGTTTCCATGAAAAATAATTTGTGAAAAATACCATACATCCCTCATATTGTGGTTTCCTCCATAAAAAGTGGAGATTAAGAATGAAAGAAACAAGGGTTACATCGTCTATTCAGCACACATTTTCAGGGAATCATACCAAAAATCATGTGGCCATGCTTAGTTTCCTATCGGAGTCAAATTTTGTGTAATTGAGGAAAATCCAAGGGAAGCATAACCCCTAAACCATCATGAAGTTGCCGGACTACATCCAACAAGACACAAATGACAAGGAAAAGGCACTTCCAGAATCCATACCCTCCAGGAAAACCCCCTTTGCAACTAATCATACTCAAGAATGGCGAATAGAAGATCATAATCAATTTCAATCAGAAAATTTAACTGACATTTCTAGTAATCCTTATAGGTTTTCAACCAGGGTAGTGACATCTAAATAATCAGCACAAACACTGGTCAACAGACTGCATCAGAAATTTAAATAGAGCAGGAAGGCTAAATTTCTAATTTAGACCATAGTAAGGATGACCAAGTTAATATTATGATCATTATTTTTCTCCAATGACATTATAATTCACTCACTACTTCAAAAACTAAACTCTAGTGGCAAAAGCCATGAATTTGTCTGTCAGCTGTCTTGACGCGAGAATGTAACTGATATCCTGCTGTTTAAGTACAAGGGCTGCTTTAATAGGAACTTGTCCCAATGGATGTCAACCTCTAACAACGAAAATTTTCTGAGCAATCTTGTCTATTGAGGAAGCAAAGAAAACAAAAGTATATAAAATTAGCTCCGACAAACAGGACATACCTCAAATACATGGTCAAGAGGGCAAATAAAAGGTTGTCGAGTGATAGATCCCTCAAGGACACCAGGGTGGGGAAACCACAGCCTATCTAACCTGCACCACAGTGGAGGCATGACCTGAAAATCACAAATACAAAATATGAAGAATATGAACTGCATATGCATTAGTTCAGCAACAATTATGGATTTCAAACCAGGTACGTAATATTGGCACAATGTTGATTGATTATTTTAGCGGACAGATTCTAGAGCCTTATCCTTATAACCAAACCAATAAGCAAAACAGCACAGTATATAGGCTAAGACCAATTTGATGTAAGTGACCAATTTGATTGCACTTCGTTAAAGTTGATGCATCCAACCTAAGACATTTCTAGTGGAGAGGCCTAAGAGTTTGTATAACACCCTGCTCATGTGTGGATGGGACTAAGCCAAACTGATAGATTAATTATGTAGGATGACATGGAGCATGTGAGGCCAATTGGGCCTAAAACATGGATAAATTGCCCACTCTGATACCATGTTGAAGTTGGAGCATCCAACCAAAGTGGGCTACAGTGGAGAAGCACTTTATTTTGTGTATTGAGATGCAAGGCATAGAGTGCCTCATGTGCAATTTCTATATTCTCATAGAAGAAACAACTATTTACTTATGATTATGATAGTTAGGATCTTGCTACATGTCAAACTTGCAAGACCCTACAAAATTTACACTAAACCTTGTATGTGATAGTAAATGAGACATGCACGATAGAACCTGTTGAATAAGTCCACAATTTCCATCCCTTTATAATTCTATTAACAGCTATCAGTGTCATGTGAAGCATTTTCAGGTGAAGAGAAGCTAAATACACTAAAATAGTAACAATTGATTGTGACAGTGGTGAATCAAAATTTGCAATATCACCCAGATATGTATAAATAAAACAAACACAAATTCCTTCAATAATCCCGCACTAAAATTCATTCACTCATTTATCACTGAAACATTCCAGTCCAACAAAAATGTGCAGTGAAATAAAACAAAATGATAGATATTTTCTCACCAAGGTGCGATTCAACAAGGAAGCAATAGCAAGTGCCATCCTTATCTGCTTTATCTGAACAAAGCCATTTCGGATATAAATTATATGATGCAACACTGTAATATCCAGATCATTGCTAAAAGTTAATGGAAGCAGGTTAGGACATACATACTTGGTAATTAATAAGAGAAAAATGTGATTTAACATTATGCTCCCCATCTAGTAACAAGCTCTTCGGAATAGATGGCTTAAATGACAAAAACCCTCCTGCATAAATTTCCAAAGATGTCAAGCGGCATTAGCATGAGAACAGTCATCAGTACAATATGAACAAATGCCAGAGTAGCAAATCCAGATATTCAAGTGGTCAAATTTTCAGTTCTATGCAAACTTTTTTATTGCTGATGAGGTGGCAAGTTTTGAAGAAAATTCAGACTTAGGCAGTGGTTTGGTTATTGGAATGAACAGAGGAACGGACTGGCATTCCTATAAAATGTCCATTTCCCCAAAATGATACCAATTTTCAATTCTTCCTACTTTACTCTCCAGCTCTCAGCATTCTATTCTAATTCTAATTCAATTATGTTCTAATGGTTAAATCTACCAATCAAAGAGTACCTTAGTTTCTTTAGTGCAAGAGCAAATTTCAGAAATGTAAATGAGCATGAAAGATCAAGCTCCATGAGATGGGAGGAAACTTAACTGAGAAGATGCAAAGAAAATGATACACATTCACTTTCACAGAAGCAAGCAGTTGCAAGAAAAATGCATCCTAAGAAGATCGAGAAGATGTGCAATGCATGGCACAAATATTGGTGATATTTTATGTTAGTACCTGGTGCATCATAGTATTCTGGTGGGTCATAGAAAACCATGCCTTCACGTAATCGGTGGCGCTTTCCTTCAGTACCCGCATACTGGAATGTGGTATGCACTGCGTATGGCTCCAACCTCAATTGCTGATACATGGCCTGCCATTAAACCATTAAAAAGCTTAGGACTGGTGTGATACACAACCTTTTGTAGCTTATATGGACTACGTTCATGCAAGAAACCTAAGTTTGAGGGTGCAATTGAGGAGAAGATGGAAGAAAACTATAATCCATGCTGAGATTAACTATGAAGATACAATGTCCAAACTACCAACGAAAAACTATACAACCCTACCTGGACAAAATATGTATGCCCGCTACAAAATATGCTTGCAGGCAAAACTCCCAGCTTCAGATTTCCATCAAAAGCATACACAAGTCCACTCTCTCCATCAACAGGTGGTCCTAACTGCTTCCTTACGAGATCATTAAACCCATTCTGATCCCATATCTTTTCATCAGCTAGAAGCATATCTTTCCATTCCTTAGCCAATCTTTTAGCAGCATCTGTTGGCCGCCAGTGGAAAATTCCAATATTGTAGGCAGCACCAACTGTTGGAGGGAAGAAATCAGCAAAATAACCAAAGCAATAACTTTAACATAAACAATCAACAAGGGTAACAACAGAGACTACGCTGGAGTCAAAATTGAGGAACAGTAATGAAGGTATCCACAGAAACAGGGAAAGTTACGGATCCTATACTAGTATCCCCAAGGGGTAGACCCCTCCCAAATTATTAGCATAGTTATAATTTGTGGCTGGACACAAATTCATGTCACCATATACAGAGATCCAGCACATGGAATAGCTGCAAACATTTTATGCATGTATAGGATAGTGGAGATGAAAAAGAAGTATTTTTACACAAAATCTTCACCTTGTTGCCAAATGTCCAACCTGTCATCAGTGACTGTTGGTACAACTTGATCACTGGAAGTCAAGACATCTGCTTCAGGATAGCGAGCAAGATATGGAAGTGGGTCCTGTTCCACGAAAAAAGATATATGATAACTCATAATCGTCAGACGAAACAAACTAAACAAGTAAGCATTCTTGACAAAAAATATTAAGAATTAAAGTACTAGCTGAAAAACTACCTTTAACCAAACCATGTCGGTATCGCACATCAAGAGCTCATAGCCATAAGGGAGGATTGAGTCTATCAGTATAACTTTTTCTCTCCCCATCTTGTGGAATGTTGGTGATCCCCATCCAACATCTATTGTGCTCATATGGCTGCCCATATCAAATACTGGAACACCTTTCCAGTACAAAGCCTCCAACAGTTTGGTGTCCATTGCACCTGAGCCATCAATTTCAAACTCATAAGTGCAGACATAAATAGAAATACAAAAACATATGTTTCCTTACAAGGAAATGGAATAGATATGTAAAGAAATTGGAAAGGCCAAAAAGACATAAATGTGCACAACCCAGAATGCGAGGTAGCTTACCAATGAGAATGTTAGAAAGCCCCAGATCAGTCAAGTGTTTAGCCCAAGTCATGATAAAATCCATGAATGCATAGTTCCCAAAGGTCACAATAATGACGTTATCCTTCACTCTTTCCTGAACCAGTTCTTTGCTCAGTCTAAATTTCTTCAAGGCTGGCATTTTCTTTGTGTGTAGAGGAGCTTCCCAAATGGGTCTTGTTGACATGCTTCGAGGCTCTAGGGAAGGTGTGGGAACTGCTTGAACTATTGCTGGTTGAGAAACATTGGGTGCTTGCTCTACAGGAGGAGAACCTATATCTGTAGCAATTTGTGAATTCACAAAAATTAAAGACATGAAGGGAGAGGGAGACGACTGAAATCATAGACAGAAAGCTTACTGAATGAACACCAAATATTGCAAGAAAGGGTGCATTGACAAGATGCAAATGGCTTGAGTTCTACAATATTACTGATGGCACCATGGAAAATTAAATTTACAACTTTACTATGTAGGAACCGCATGCAGTGTAATCATTAATAAAGTGAAAATATTTTATATATATACATATATACAAAATTTGGGGCAGATACCCAAATCCCATTTCATATTGGGGTCTGCCAATAGCTCAATCAACTCTTATGCAAACTCCAGAATGCTAATATGAGGAAATGAAAATATGAAGAAATGATATACAAAGGTGCCACAATGTTTGAAGCTTGAAACTTTTGGTGTGTAACAACAAACAAGAACCACAAAGTTGATCCACTTTTTTCAACCCAAGAAAAAACACAAAAAAACTTAACTAAAGCACCAAAATCAGACGTTTGATCACAGGACAAGAGCAAAGTTGAGTTTAGTTTCTAAATGAGCTTATGCTGTCACAGTCGAATCAGTTAAATCACTTAGCGATATAAGTTAGTAGTTGTCATTAGTTAGAGATGTGGCGGGAAGAGTGAAATGGATCCTGTATAAACAAGAGCACCATTGCGTCTCCACAAGAATAAAAGACAATGAAAATACAATTTCCAGTGCTAAGCACATAAGCGTTGAATTATTCAACGGGCAACTAAAATCTCAAAAACCCATTTCCAATATGTGATGAAAGTGATAGAAATTGAAGAATAAGCGTAAGAAACAATAACAAAATCAATGGGCTAGGAAACCCAAAAGGAAAAAGCAGAGAGAGAGAGAGAGAGAGAAACTGACGGGAAAGCCAGGAGGTGGTGGAATCTGCAGCAGACTTGCCAGAGTAAATGGCCGATATCACATACAAAGACGAGAAGATGATCCCAATTATTACAGTGGCGTATATAGTCACGAACACTGGCTTCGCATTGTCAAACGCATTCCTCCACCCCATTGTTTCGCTTTTGGGATTTGTTTGCTTGTTTGATTATCCTTCCCACGCCATTAACATCATCTTCTTTCTTCTTTCTTCTGGGGAAGAAGAAGAAAGAAAACCCTAAATCCAAATGGAACCAATCTGAATCTGAGAGGGTTATTTCACTTGTTTCTCTCTCAGCTCTCAGGCTCCCAACTGGTAAAGGTCAACTCCAGGCTGAGCCTCCATGTTTGTCTCCTTTATTTCTCTCATTCTTTACTCTCTTTGCCTAGGCTGTATTCAATTAAGATTTTAAAAGAGTTTAAAAGTTTGGGGGTATTCAATTCAGATTTTAAAAGGGTTTGTAAAAGTTTGGATGTATTCAATTCATATTTCAATTGATATTAAAAAAATATATCGAAATCTAGGTGTATTCAATTATGACTTTTTAAAAGTCAAACAAAATTTAGGTGTATTCAAAAAGTAATTTATTTTGAAGGAATTAATAAGTTGCTCGATTTCGTTAGAAAATAAAGTGGTAAGTATAAATACAAAAGGCTTTGACAAATCTTATGTGAACCCTAGAAACTTTGAACGTGCTCTACGTTTTCCAGTCCTTAAATGTGTGCTCTTATAAAGTGGAGGTAAAAAATCTCTACTCTTTTTCTACGTTTTTTACAATTCCCAGTGTTTGAATAATTGCTTTTGCTATACATCATCATATATCCAAGCAACTGTTGTTGCTTGTATTCGATGCATATCACTCTGGATGCATATCATTTGTTGTATTCAATGTTACTTTTCCTTCTCTTTTTTTTGGTTGCTGTTTTTTTTCTTGAATAGTTTTTTGGTTGCTGTTTTTATTTTTCTGTACTTTTTCTACATCATCCTTTCTTTTGTTTTGTTACTGTTCATAAAATGTCGATAGCTTCTTCATCTACAATCATATCAATTTTTTTTTTTTTTTTTTTTTTTTTTGTTGTTGTTGTTATGCGTTTCCCTTCTTTATCAATGTACTATATATATATATATATATATATATCTATATCTAGTCCATGCCAAAACAAAAAGGAAAAAAATTATCTTCATATATATATTTTTTTTTATGAACTAGTTAAAATTATCTTCATATATAATTTTTTTCCTGTGAACTAATTAAGATTGCATGTATTATCTAGTAACATTATAAATGAGAGATTCACAACAAGGAAAAGGAAAAACACCTTATAACCCATGGACCTCAAAAGAGAGCAATATGCTGTTAGAACTAATGGTTGATGCTGCCAATCGTGGATGGCGCGATTCTAATGGTTTGCTAAGCAAGCAAATAGTAGAAAGCAAGATACTTCCTGTTCTTAATGCAAAACTTGGATGCCAAAAAACTTATCATCAATATCAAAGCCGTCTGAAATGGTTTAAAACAAAATATCACAGTTTTACTCAGCTTATGCATCATAGTTCTGGATTTGGGTGGGACTCTGTCTCAAAGAAATTCACAGCTACCGAAGAAGTATGGCAAGATTACTTTAAGGTAAGATTTCAATTTTGTTAAATATTACTTTATAATGACAACTTTCACTTTCGTACTTTTTGCATGTTTTTAATTTTTATTATTTTATTTTTGGTTTTTGCTAGTCTCATCCAAGTCAAGTGCATCTTCAAAGAGATACATTTGCAGACTATGAGGATTTGGTAATTGCAATTGGCAATGGAACAGCTGCTGGGAAAAACTCAATTGGACTTGGTGATGATACTGATGCTAGAACGTATGAAGTTGGAGAAAGTAGACCTACTAGATTGCAAGATACCAATGAGGCATTTGTACCAAGTCAAAATGAAACATCATACCAATCTTTGTCGTCTGGTAATTTTACTTCATCGCCTTTTCTGGACACAAATTTGGAGGCTCCATTAGAAAAGCTCCCTCACAGAAAGAAACCTAAAATTGAGTCTGAAGCAAATAGTAATTCAGTTGAAACCATAACTCGAGCTGAACTGGTAGAAAAAGTTTATGTGGGCATGGATTCAATTGCTGCAATTACCACTGAAATTCGAGGAATGCATAGCTTGATGGGATAATTAGCATGGATTTGTAGGGCCGATATATTCTAGCATGACAAATTATTTATTTAGCATGGCATGTGGATTGCAACTCGTATGTGGCAGGTTTTTGTGTACTCCGCTTTACGTCTTTCCTTGATAGAGTGTCATTTTGGGCCGATAATTTATTCAGGCCCGACCGTGGATTTTTTGGGCCTCAACAATGCACAACAAGAAGATGGTCATGCAACACAAGAAATGGAGGCATTGAGAAATCATATAGCAGCAAGTTTAATGAGTTCATCTACCTAGAAATGTATATGATTGTTTGTTTATGACTAGTTTAATATTTTGTTATGACCATATTTTTTTTATAATATATTTATTTTTAATGGAAACTTTATTTATTTTATAATTAAAATAAAATTAGGGTGTCATGGAAACATATTTAATACCAAAAAAAAGTTAAAGTTAAAGTGAAAGTTCTTTTCTTTTTACCAAACACTTGAACAGAAAAGTCATTTCAACATAATGCCCTTTTTAGTCATTATATACAGCTCACAGCACTTTTACAAAAAATTTACCAAACATTCAAAAACTGATTATTGTACAAACAGCACTTTTAACAAAAAGTTTACCAAACGCCAAATTACTTTCTCTCACAGCTGATTTCTCTCACAGCAAATTTGACAGCGATTATTTTTACAGCACAGCAATGCCAAACTAGCCCTTAGTCTCCAGCTGGCTATAGCTGCAGCAGCCCTTCCTGCTACTGCTTCCGCCTCTCCCGCGGCCCCCGTCGCTCCCTCTCCCGCTGCACCCGCCGCTCCCGCCGCTCCCATTCCCATTCCCGATCCAGCTTTCGCCGCTCCCACTCTAGCTCCCGCCGCTCCCGCTCCCGCATCTCACACTCCCACTCCCGCTCCAGCTTCCGCTCCCACTCCCCTTCCAGCTCCCGCTCCCGCTCCCGCAGGTTCATCTTCTGCATGAGTTGCTCCAGCCACTCCTGCTATTGCTGCTCCCGCGCTCGCAGCTTCATCTTCTGCATGAGTTGCTCTCGCTGCTCCCGCTCCCTCTCCCGCTCCCGCTCCTCCACCCGGTCTTCGCCAACAGGGGAGAAGTTGGTATGTCGGCTAAACAAATCCCTTTATGGGTTGAAGCAAGCGTCACGAAATTGGTTTGCCAAATTTACTGGTGCTCTTAAAGATGTCGGATTCACTCAGTCTATGGCAGATTACTCACTCTTTACCAGGTCTGCTAATAACTCTTTTACAATTATATTGATTTATGTGGATGACATTGTTATTATAGGAAATGATCCAAAGGTCATTCAATCACTCAAGGATTTTCTCCATACACGCTTCCGCATTAAAGACTTTGGAAATCTTAAATATTTTTTTAGGCACTGAGATTGCACGATCAAAGGAAGGAATTTTTATTTCACAACGCAAGTACGCGCTAGACATACTTGATGATGCTGGGCTCTTGGGGTCACGCCCTTACTCTTTCCCTATGGAGCAGACTTTGAAACTCAAGCCCACTGATGGAAAGCTTTTACAGGATCCTTCCAGATATCGACGACTCGTAGGCCGCCTCATTTACCTCACAGTAACATGACCTGATATTACTTTTACTGTGCACATCCTTAGTCGATTTATGCACGAGCCGCGTCAACCTCCTCTTGATGCAGCCCTTTGTGTATTACGTTATCTAAAGGGAGCTCCAGGACAAGGCGTTCTATTCCCTGCACAAAAAAATCTCAAGCTACGAGCCTTTTGTGATTAAGATTGGGCGAGTTGTCCCGTTACCAGAAGATCAGTAACAGGCTATTGCACTTTTCTAGGTAATTCCTTGATTTCCTTGAAGACCAAAAAATAGAACACCGTGGCACAATCATCCACAGAAGCAGAATATCGGTCCATGGCAGATGCGTGTTGTGAGCTCAAATGGTTACGATTTATACTGCAAGATCTTGGCATTGAGCATCTGGAACTAGCAACCTTGCATTGTGATAATCAATCAGCCCTATATATTGCTAAGAATCCTGTGTTTCACGAACGAACCAAACATATTGATCTTGATTGTCACCTGGTTCGACAAAATATTCAATCTGGCTTAGTGTCCACTACCTATACGCCTACCGCTCTACAAGTTGCAGATATTTTCACCAAGCCCTTAGGCAAGGCTTCTTTTGGCACTCTCTTAGGCAAGTTGGGAGTCTACAATATACACTCTCCAACTTGAGGGGGTGTTAAGATATGAAATAGCTGTAAATATTTGTTTCATTGTCTAGATAGTCAACTGCTTTAATTTAGGACTAACAGAAGTTTACCATATGTAGCCTACCGCTTCCTCTTTATATCCTTGTACCATTAGAGTTGTAAACATATGCAGAAAATATATCAAATACCAATTTTACACCTCTTGTCTGGAAAAACGGTCAGCTTTGATCGCAGCAGCAGAGGGGGAGCTGGAATCGAATTCCAGGGAATCGGAATGGGGAAGAGGCTGTGGGGCCGAAGGTTTATGCACCGGAGACTGAATATGAATCTCGACGATATCCACATCCCAAAAAACCCAATCTTGAGTGGCGGTTCTGTGAGGAATGTCGTGGGTCACCGAGTTGCGCCACGGAGGCGGGCCCCCATTGGCTTGGAGGAAGTTGCCGTACCGGGTCCGGAGCCGGACCTGGGTGCCTTCTCTGATGGGCTCCCACTCCACCGAGGAGTCGAGCAGCCGGGGCAGAGTCTGGAGCACTTTCCGACCGTTCATGCCGAGCAGGTAGGGCTGGTTGGAAGCGGTGAGGTACTTGCCGAAGCAGCTCTTTAGGCGGATGATGGTATCGGATTCGGGTACGAACTCGACGGTCCATTGGGCCTTCTTGGATGACCCGTTTCCGTCTTGGGTCACGGAGACTTCGTCCTCCTCGGCTAGGAGGTACTTGTCGTGGTGGCTGCGGAGGCGCACCGCCTTGGCGTTTTGGAAGAGGTTCATGCCGATTCTGAACTTGTTCGAATTGGTCTGATTGGAACAGAAAAAATCGAGTTCAAGATTTTAACTCAGAGAAGGAAAAATGCTGAAGAAGGTTTGAATCTAATTGTGTGTGTATATATATATATTTGACATGCATACAAATACAATGAATAAATAAAAGGCTAAATTTCACTTTACTATCCAGAGAAAGATGGAAACATAATTTTCTTTATTTTGTTTAGTTATTCCCATGATACACATACAAATGACAACTTTTAAATTAATATTTCAAGGTTATATATGTGCGTTTATATATATATATATATATATATATGTATGTTTTAGAAATAAGTTACTTTAAATCGTAATTAAATTGATACCTCTACCACCTGATCATCAAGAAATGGTATATTTTGCGCATAATACTTTGAGATTGGATGCAACGAAGTTTCTTCCGTGCTACAAACCAACAGATTGAGAGAATATTTTCTATTAGTGGAATGAAAACAGTGCATAAAGATGAAAAAACAAACAAAGAAAAGAAAGCAATCTTTTACGACTGTCTTGTTTATTAGAGATAGAGCTATAGCTTAATTAGCCACTCTCCCTCCATCCGCTCGCACTTTAGTCTTTACATTTTGTGCTGATTGAAATAAAGTAGAATTCCCATGTGATATGATATCCATTAAAATCCCCCTTAATTATTTCTTAAAATTTCCATCTCTCTCCTTCCAAAACTAAATAAATAAATAAAGAAAGAAGAAGAAGCCTTCCTTTTGTATTATCTAAAACTAAAAAGCTGCAAAAAGATTTAATATGCAAATTAATTAAGCAGCCGATGAGCAGTTTAATTCGTGCTTACCTTGAAGAATTTTCCCATGAGTCCTTGTTATCAGTGGTATTGGCGTTCCTTTGGTTCTTACTTAGTTTTGAACCACCTAAACACATGAGAAATATGGCAGGCAATATGGATGCTTTGATAGGATTATCAGCATGTCGAAGGCAGTAAACATACTGAACTATTGAACAAATGCACTGTGAGATGCCAGCAACTAGTCCATAAATGTCAGGAAGAGTACCAAAAGGCGTATGTCGAGGAGGTGGCGTATGATAAAACCACCAGAGCATTCCCCATCTCCTCAACACAACTCTTTCCTTTTTACCTCTGTAAATTAGCTCCCAGATGGAAATGAGCACAGCTGCAATAGCCAACAGCATACCAGATAGGGCATAGTGGGGTTTTCTCGGGGAGGAAGCCTGATCACAAGCAGCTGACAACATCTCTAGGCCAAGGATAGTAGCTAAAAATATCCACTCTGCTGATTCTGAAGTAGCCCTCATCCCTGAAACTCAAGGAGGGTATGTAAAGATTACTACTAGGTGTTAAAGATGGCTCAAAAGAAGACTGATCTCCACGACGAGTGTTTGCAAACCAGGAAACCAGTTGTTGCTCTCTCAATTTCCACAGCTAATAAGCAAGTGCTTTTCTTTGAGACATAAATACCTCTGTGTGGTTACTGAGAAAACAGAGGAATTTAAATAGAAAAAGAAAGGAACTTTCCAAGATGGATCCTCTGCTTTCTTTCTTTAATTATCTGATTTCCATCCCGCCTAAACTGAAAACAATGAGAAGAAGATGCTATAGTGTTATGGGATTAGTGGAGAAGAGGTTCTAGTAAAGGCAATAGTGGAAAGGAGAGAGCTTCTTGGAAAATCGCAGTGTGGTGGAAAAGCTCTTCCCAGGTGGCCCACACGGTTTATTTTCATTTACTTTATATTGATATCTTCCACACGGTTTGTACAAGCTTTATATTAAAATGCAACGATGAGCTGTCAAATAAAGCTGCATAAGATTAGTTATAGAGAGTTAACTAAGACTAACAAACAAACGATTTAGTGTAACAAATTAATTATTTACTGCTTTTAATATCATCTTTGTCTATCACTACCATTATTTTATTAGTATTTATATTAATTATAATTTTTGTTTTCTTGCTTAGCATTTTATTCTTGGATCTGGTATCTATATAATAAAAAAAAACACAAGATTGGGTCCATTCCAGTGGACGGGGTCAACCCGCCAAACGGGAGCCGCGAACGCGTCCATCTATCTTGGTTATATTGTAGTTGGTTCAACCTCACTGTCACTAGATTCTTGTTTTTCTTGCAAATTAGTTCTAGATGACAATTTTTTTAAAGTACAATCTACATAACAGAAGATATTTCTCAGGAACTGTTTTTAGAAGAAAACAAAAATTTAACAGTAGTGGAAACTTAAATATTCTCAAAAAGAGAACTGCTTTTTCCTATTTACTTTTATTTTACAGTTTATTACCTCCGATTACAAATGCAAAAGCAAACAGTGGAACTAATTCCATTCCATCCTAACTAATTTGCTTTCTCCACCATGGTTTCAACGTCCCTCTGTGTCTGCTGTGATTTTAGCCATTGTTGCTAGGTAGCTTTTTATTTCTTCTCCATTTTCTTATCCATTCGAGTTTGATTTTTCTCGATTTCCATGTTTAATTCTAACATTTGAACTCCGTTTATTTGGCTGCTTCTCAGTTTACTTTCTAAAACTTTTTCTGAATCTAACTCATTGGTTTATGTGTGCATTTCTATTAAGTTTTCGCGCACAAGACGACTGCGTTTTCTTATTCTCGCTTTCTTCAGTTCTTTGTTCTTTTTTCTCTCCTCTAATCTGAAATTTTCATCCTTTTTGACGTGGAATTTGTCAATATAATTAGTCACAAATATTGGGTTTCGTTGAAGTTTCTGTTTTGGGTTGTTTTGTCTCTTATTGGGTATGCACTGGAAGGTTAAATGGTATTGAGGAAATTTCATGTTTTTGGACAATTGGGCCTTCTGGGAGAGTTTGATTGTATAGGCTGAGGCTGAGTTTTGTGCATTTGAGGCTCTTTCCAAGTCTTGTGCAATTGGGTCTTTTGCTTTTATAACATGCATCATTTGTGTTGATACCATCATTTGCCTCACGTGCTTGCTCCAATATAGTGGCCTCACACGTGGGTTAAGTCTCCTATACCCTATCATTTGACAAGGCAAGAAACCCATGCACTTAAAGGAAGGCCCACGCCTCCTCTTAGTTGGCCTAAGAGCATCTCCAAGGGAGATGTCAAATTCCAAACATCAAATTTAAATTTGATAGCTGATGTGGCAATTTGACATTTATATAGTTTTACACTCCACCTGATATGTCAAATTAAATTATTATTTTCTTACATTTCAGTGTTGATTTATTTACTACTTCTTTGAATATAATTTTTATATTTTTAATTAAAAAGAAATGAAATTACCAAAAGACAATCAATTAATTGAAAAAGAAAAAAAATACTACAAGACAATGAATTCATTGAAATATAATTCACAATTCATCACCTCGAAGAATTTTCATTCTAAGTTGAGTATAATATAATCTTTCCTCATCACACATTCCAGATGTATCCATAGACATAATTTTCGTCTCGAACTCCATTTGTTTGAGTCGGAGTTTCATCTTGCTCAACTTTCTTCTTAATAAGCTCCATTTTCCTTTCATCTCTTTCCTTTTTTTCTTCATGTAATGTTTGAATTTGCACCAAAATAAGAGTGGGCTCATCGCTAGTGGTTTCTTTCATCTTTCTCTTTTCGGCCTTCTTACCTAGTGGTCTTTTTGTGGGAGCATAAGTATCATTGGTGTTGTCTTGGTCAACATCTATGGGAGTTCTTTCAGTAGAAGATGATGAGAAACTAATGAAGTTAGATTGGTTTTCACGCTTTCTTACTCACTGATTCTTGCGTTTGTAACCACTTTGGTTGGTGCCTCAATAAAATTCAAGCATGATCAAGGTTGAACTTTGCTTTGTATATTGCTTCATATGTAGCCTTCGCATCTGCAATCTAAAGATTAAAAAAACAAAACAAAACTCCACATGAGAATAAATTTAATAATTAAATACACTAATACCATTTAAATTTACCTTATCTTGCTCAGTTTTGCCACTCTGATTTCTCTCATTTATATACATCCAGAAAATCTATTGACCTCCTGAATTTTTTGCCACCGTTGATATAGCATTAGGTCAGTTCGACTACTTTCGAACCACTTATTTTGGTTGTAATATTCCCCAATTCGTGCCCAAAAAGTTTGATGTTTTTGCTCATTTCCATGTATAGCATCCATAGTGTTTAACCATGCACTAACAAGAAGACGATCCTCATCTTTGTTGAAGCCAGCACCGCGGATGTTTTTCTTTTCAGACACTTCCACATTGACTTGATCACATACTTCACTTGAAAATTGAGATTGTTGAGTAGAAAAATTTGGCAATTGGGAGTATTGAGAATCCATAATGTTTCTAGAGGAAAATTTGAGAGATTGAATGTGAGGATGCACAAGCAAATATAAAATGTGGTATTTATAGAAATCAAATGTGAGGATGAATTTAATGAACAACGGGAAAAAAGAAACATGCACAAGTATTTAAACATTCCAACGGGCAAAGTATTTACAATGCACCTGTATTGAAACAATGCATGCATGGCCTGGAAATAAATAAAAAATAGCAACAAATTAGTTCACTTGTGCAAGCATAAATGAAACGATTCAAAGTGATATGTAACGGTAATATTTTATAATTTGTTTTGTTTTGTATTATATTGTTTTCTTATAGAAAGTAGATTTTAATATGAACTGAGATAAGAGTATAAGACTAATCAAACGTAAATGAAACAAACTCTTAATGTTGTATATGATAGAGCAATGATCTTATCACAACAAGAACAAACAAATGGATATGGACCAACGCTTTCTCAGAGTCCAAATTAAAACCAAATACACTTCTGATTTAATAAACTAAAATTTAAAACAATACATGAAACGACCTGACCCAATTTCCACTTTGGAATCCGGGTAACCTGTTTAAAGCTGACACCTGGTGACTGTGGGTCGTAAATGACCAAAATGCCATGAAACAGTAACACAAACTCTGGGGCCCTAACTCATGGCTACGTCTGATAACTGTAGGCTGCCTACGTACCCTTATTGAGGGATCAAGCCACACATAGTTCTTTCCTCTGTTATGGACCTGCAACTAGTTGTTATTCTGTAACTGGTTTAATTATCCGTAAAACACACTCTAGGGCTGACGTTTCTGGAGTAACCGGGACTCCGTTTTACGATCCATCAGATACTGTACGATCCTGGAAATACCTAGATCAACCTACTCGAACTAGACTGCAATCCAACGGTTCGAACGTATCGAACCCGGAAATCGCACAATATGCAAGATCCGTCCGGGGTTCAAACGTTATCCGAATTGATATCCGCGAATTCCTACGAGCTCGTGACTACAAGAGGGTCACACGGGGACCCAATGCCTCTCTGCTACAGTGCCCACGCGCCGCCACAAGCGCTGGCAGCGTGTGGTTACCCGAAGTGATAACGCTTCGCCAGAAAATCTCAACATATCGGCTCAAGACTCTTATCCTAGGTAAAACACCCAATTTGGAGCCACTTTTGTTCTTGGACCTACCCCAAAAACTAGCCGGAAGTGGCCGGAATTGCTAACTCAAAACTGGTCGAACCCTAAACCGAAAATCAAGCCATCTAAGCTAAAAATTCAGGAAATCCTACCCAACAGGCAGCTAGAGTACGAAAAATAGGTAGGAAACCATATCTTACATGCCTGAAATGGTGGCCGGAAACGGCTGGAACGACGCCGTGAAGTTTTGGGTTAAAAACGGTGACTTTTGGCATTTTCCGGCTTCGGCTGCTGGTGGCTGGGACGGTTAAGGGGCAGAGTGGAGAGAGGAGAGCTGGCCGATCGTTTTGGGTCCGGCCCTGACCTGGGTGGCGGCCGGACGTGGCGGTGCCGGCTCCAATTCTGTTCGGGTGAACAGCGCTGGGAGGAGGCTCGCGCGCACGCAGCCGCGGGGGGAG